TCTCTGGGGGTCTGTCGTCTCGTACCATCCCCATCTGCATTGTCGCCGTCCCCCCATGGGCAGCGAGCCGTCATGGTCGCCGCTGGTGCCGGCTCCTGGACTGCCCCGAGGGGGGGGGGTTGCTGTCTGCGGGGGATCTGAACCTGATTGGGGTCTGTGGGGGATTCGACCGAGGCCAGTGACTGGGCTCCCGCGCCCTGCACTGAGTGGTCCCCGCCCCCCGCGACGCCATCCGACTGATCCTCCATGAGACTGAGGCCCGCACCGCCTGCCTGGGCCGCGTTGCCTGCCAGCCCGCCGCTGCCGAATGGCGGGGCGCGCCGAGGGGAGCGGGGGGGCACGGGTCCCAGGCCCGCCGCGCAGCGTACGGGCGCCCCCTTGAGCGGCGGGGGACTGCCCCGGAAAGAGCAGGCCCACCAGACGGTTTGAGCCAGACTACGGACCCTGGTGGAGCTACTTGTTGGTTCGCGGCTCCAAGGCGGATGACAGGGAGCAAACACAACGTCCGGGGCGCGTGACGATGTAAACTGGCCTCCGAGGCGAATGCACGTGCAAGGGACAAAATGACCCTCATTAAGACGCAGGCTGCGTCGGCAGGAGACCGGCCCAGACATCCCGGCAGGTGGGGACGCAGGCGCGGCGACCGTCGGTGGAACGGGGGGGAGAAGTCGCCCTTTCGGCGCCAAACTCCAGCCGAACTACACTCGGTGAGGCCACGAGGCGGGGGGGGGAAGAAGAGAGCGAAAGCGAGCGACCAAGACAGGCTCACTGCGGCACCCCGAGTCAACGATGGTGCGGCGAACGAGGCCTGACTCATCAAGGCTCACTGAATCTGAGGTGTAGCTGATCCACGACTAAACGCAATACAGTAGGAAGACCACTGAGGTGCGTTCACGAGGCTGAGCCACCTCCAACCAAAGCCAGTGCGTGCACATCGTATCCGACTCGCGCAGTTCGGGGGCAAAACGATGCAAAGTACTGACGGGAGCTGATTGCAGACTGCTCTGCTGGAGGAACGACCACGAACTGCAGAAGGCTGAACCACTCAATGCAGGGCCGCTCCCTGACGAAGCCAAACAACGGGTCACCGAATGTATGGCTGACGGCCGCGCCCGTTCGCACCTCCAGCCGGTAGCCAGTGTGCTGGTGGAGCTACGCGAACCGTCAAGAAATCGCTGCTCTGCACCCCCACTCTGACTCCCACGCGCCGCGGGACCGCCGGCGCCGCGACAAAAAGGTGCCGCTCTTGTGGGGTCTCTCAGATGAGTTTTCGTCGCCACGGCTGGATTCCCCTCGAGTCCCTGGTCGCACCCCTGGACGGGTCCAGGGGCAGGACGGCCTGCACAACTGGCCCAACACTACCCTTAGGTCGGGCATGTCTCCCTGCAGGCGGATTTCGTTGGAAAAATGAAGAATACCCCAAACAAGTATTTGAAAAATGCTCAAACATGTTCAAAAAGATCGTCCACTAACTATTTGTTTTACTATTTTGGAATACTCCTCCTGTAGAGGGACGCGCCCGACTTACACTACCCCCGAGGGCCAGGCAAGGCGGGGGGAACATCCACCCTCTTCCCTGCTCCTGGCCCTCTCCCTACTCTCCCCGTCGTCGTACTCCCCCTCCGCCTCCGCTAAGACTCGCACTCGTTGCCGCTCTGTGGCAGCGGTTCTCGAGCCCTGGGCGTAGCCCACTGAGGGCCAGAAGGCCGATCGGGCCGGTGCACCGCCGTTCTGAAGAAATCTCGCCGAGGCCCCATAACTGCTGCCATGGGCCTCGCCCCCTCCCGGTGGGGGGCGAAAAGACTCTTACACAGCGGTCCGTTGGAGTGCCTGCTAGCCGGCTCCTGCTCCCCCTCCCCATTGGGAATAAGCCCGAGCACAACCAGTTCGGAATGCTCAGAAACGAACAGGCACCAGTTACAGCCACCCGAGTCGGTCGGATTACAACCCAAGCAAAAGCAGACAGCAGCCTGACCATCACGCAATGGAAGAGCGAGTCTCTGACAAGCCTCCTTCCTGGCCTCCCCATCCAAATCCCCGACCCCCTGTCCCCATTCCCGCCCACATCCTCCCTCCACAATAACACATTACGAAGACTACTCTCCCCTCTAGTCTGATTCCGCCCAGAATGCATGTACTTTTGTTTACACAAAATTGGACCAAAATTCCCCCATGGTAGTTTACAATCCGATTGTTCTCGGTGTTTCAAAATGGTGCTCTCACTGCAGCGCGGGACTCATTCTCGGATCGGCGTTTTGCTCCCGTCGTGCAGACTGGCGCTCTTGCACCAGCGCGGGGCACTTTCCTTGTCCATCGTTCTCGCCCTCCTCCGCGTTTGCCCTCCACCGTCTTCCCCTGGTCCTCCTGATCCTCCCGCGCATTCGGCCCCAGATCCCGCTGCTGCTGTTCGTCCTCGTCCTCCTCTTTCCGCCTCCTCCTCCCTCCTTCCTCCTTCCTCCTTCCTCCTCCTCCTCCTCCTCCTCCTCCTCCTCCTCCGTCTGCTCCTCCTCCTCCTCCTCCTCCTCCTCCTCCAATGTACGCTGCCCTGTTTCTGATTGCGCGTGACTCGATGGTGTCTCCTTTGGAGTTTCAGGTCCTCTATGACACGCGCCGGCAGATACAGGAAACGACCCTGCGACGTACCCCAACCCATTTCCATCGAATGGAATCGACGTAGGCCAAGATTGACAGGAACGACGACTGTGCAGGCGCGGCGACTTGCTGCGCAAGCTACATGGAACGCGCGCACGTTGCACGACTCAAAGAACACCGATCGACAGGACGAGGATTGGGGTCCCAGGCTTGAAGAAGAACGATGGCGGGAACGACGGGCAGGAGAATGACGGAATTGCGGGGGCGGGGAGCCATGGTGAAGGTGAAAGAGGGTGCGAATGGCAAGCGGTCAAATCTCAATCTGCGGCGATTACCCCAATGCTGGCCCCCCAAGCAGCCCTCGAACGTGGCGACGGCTTCGCAGATCGCAGCTTTCCAAAGATAGCGGAGTCGCATCTGAATCTGCAGCGATTGCACACGATGCTGCGCCCCCAAGCAGCCCTCGAAAGTGGCGACACTTTCGCAGATCGCAGCCCCCCATGGATGGCAAGGTCTAGTCTGAGTCTGCGGCGAGTACCCACTATGCTGGCCCTCTCAGCAGCCCTCGAACCTGGCAACAGTTTCGCAAGATCGCAGCCCCGCAGTGATGGCGAGGTCTAATCTGAATCTGCGGCGAGTACCCACTATGATGGCCCCACCAGCAACCCTCGAAGGTGGCAACAGTTTCGCAAGGTCGCAGCCCCGCAGGGATGGCGAGGTCTAATCTGAGTCTGCGGCGAGTGCACACTACCTGGCCCCCCCAGCAGCCCCCGAAAGTGGCGACAGTTTCGCAGATCGCAGCCCCCGAAGGATGGCGAGGTCTAATCAGAGTCTGCGGCGAATGCTTATTATGCTGGCCCCCCAAGCAGCCCTCGCAAGTGGCGACGGCTTCGCAGATCGCAGTCTCCCAGAGTTGGCGGAGTCTAACCTCAATACGCGGCGAGTGTCCACTACGCTGGCCCCCCAGCAGCCCTCGAAAGTGGCGACAGTTTCACAGATCGCAGCCCCCCAGGGATGGCAAGGTCTACTCTGAGTCTGCGGCGAGTACCCAGTATGCTGCCCCCCCCAGCAGCCCTCGAAAATGACGACATTCTTGAAGATCGCAGCCCCCCAGGGATAGCAAGGTCTAATCTGAGTCTGCGGCGACGACCCACTATGCTGGCCCCCCAGCAACGTTCGAACCTGGAAACAGTGTCGCAAGATCGCAGCCCCGCAGGGATGGCGAGGTCTAATCTGATTCTGCGCCGAGTACCCACTATGCTGCCTCCCTCAGCAACCCTCGAAAGCGGCAAAAGTTTCGCAAGATCGCAGCCCCACAGGGATGGCGAGGTCTAATCTGATCCTGCGGCGAATGCCAACTATGCTGGCCCCCCCAGCAGCCCTCGAAAGCGGCAACACTTTGGCAGATCGCAGCCCCCGAAGGATGGCGAGGTCTAATCTCATTCTGCGGCGAGCGCCCACTATGCTGGCCCCCCAAGCAGCCCTCGAACGAGGCAACAGTTTCGCAAGATCGCAGCCCACATGGATGGCGAGGTCTGAGCCTGCGGCGAGTACCCACTATGCTGCCTCCCTCAGCAGCCCTCGGAAGTGGCGACAGCTTCACAGATCGCAGAGCTCCAGGGATGGCGATGTCTAATCTGAATCTGCGGCGAGTGCCCACTATGCTGCCCCCCCCCCCAGCAGCCCTCGAAAGTGGCGACAGTTTCGCAAGGTCGCAGCCCTCGAAGGATGGCGAGGTCTAATCTGAGCCTGCGGCGAGTGCCTCGTATGCTGGCCCTCCAACAACCCTCGAAAGTGGTGGCAACGGTTTCGCAAGATCGCAGCCCCACAGGGATGGCGAGGTCTAATATGAATCTGCGGCGAATGCCCACTATGTGGCCCCCCCGCAGCCCTCAAATGTGGCGACAGTTTCACAGATCGCAGCCCCCCACAGGGATGGCGAGGTCTAGTCTGAGTCTGCGGCGAGTACCCACTATGCTGGCCCCCCAAGCAGCCCTCGCAAGTGGCGACGGCTTCGCAGATCGCAGCCCCCCCAAAGATAGCGAGGTCTAATCTGAATATGAGTCTGCGGCGGGTACCTGTTATTAATATGCTTATCATTCTTCTTGGTAGTATTATTATGAATTGTCTTTTTCGTACTCGTATTCTTAATGTTGTAATTATTCCTCTTAGTAAAACTATTAGTAATGTTTCTATTATTATTGTTAATATTATTGTCATTGTTATTATTATTGATACTATTATTATTATCATTATTATTAATATTAGTATTATTATTATTATCATTATTATGATGATGATGATGATTATTATTATTATGATTATTATTATTATCATTCGTCTCAGTCCTCCTCCGAAAGCACGTCATGGGAGCATGGTATACCCTCCCACAAGGGCGGGGGGCGCGCCCGGCGCCGCCCGCGCCGGCGCTAGCTGCGGCGCCCACCGCCCGCGGCGGCGGCTCCCGCCGCAGCGGCGGCTCGCCGAAGGGGCCGCCAGCCGAGGACGGCGGGCCCGAGCTGTGGGCGCGGCCGTCGGCGTCGCCGCCGCCCGCCGCCGCTGACGCGCCGCGCGACGAAGCCAGGACGAGGATACAACCGGGCGAGCATGCATCGAGAATCTCTGAGATCCAGCGGATCTGGAGGACGTCTCGGGAGTCGCGGCCTTCTGAAAGCCTTCCGGAGCGCTCTGAGAGCGTTCTGGACCGCTCTGGAACGGATTGATCCTGTTCCTAGCCACGTCCGATGGGATCCAGACACCCAACGCATCGGAAAGCAACACGACGGAGGTGGCTCCTCGATTTGGGCCTCTGGGGGCCCTCGCCCAGCCCCTGGACCGCCCGCTCGGACTGCAATTCCAGCCCTGGGGAAGAGGTCGAGGGACTTCTGGGGACACCGCGTTGCAAAAACGGCTTCGGGGTTCGAAGATGGGGCCCTGAGGGGCCCCAGAGGCCGAAACCGGCCAACAAGAACGCCCGTCGTGATCCCCTTCACGGCGTCAGAACGTCAGGGCGGTTGCAGTCCCCGCGTCGCTTTGCTTCTCTCCGCTCCGCCGTGAAGGCAGAAGTTGCCTCCATCCCGTGAGCTCGTTGCTGCCATCCCGTTGCAAGCGTGCCTGCTTGTTCCGGAGGGAGCGCGAAAGCGCAATTCTCCCTCCAATCATCCACAGATTCTGACAGTCGCAGTCCCCGCCTCGTTGTGCTTCTCTCCGTCCCGCAGTCCCGGGGGCAACTAAGAGGGGGGCGAGGTGGGTGCAAATCATGGCCGGCGGCATGTGCGCAGCCCAAAGAAGGGCCAAGGACGCAATGAAAGAAGAAGAGGCGCCATGAAATCTTGTGAATTATCATGGCCCACGCCATGATATCCACCCCACCTCTAGTCATAGCCCCCCATGTTGCCGCCCCCGAGTCAGCGCACTGCCCTTTCTCCTCGGCCGTGCCGCGGCCTGGCTCTGCTTCGCTGGGGCCCGGGTGAACGCTGCGACGGAACTCCCCTCCGACTGCAGAAGCCCCCCCCCGCCCTCATCCTCCTCCTCCTCCTCCTCCTCCTCCTCCTCCTCCTCCTCCTCCTCCTCCTCCTCCTCCTCCTCCTCCTCCCCGTGCCGAAGGCAACCCGTAGCCTGCGTGGCTATTGTTTGTGAGGGACGCACGGGGCGCTGGTAAGGAAATACGAATTTCACACTTCCGACGAGCACCCTCACAAACGCCCCGCGGGTCAGGGTGCCTGGGCGATACCAGCACAACAAGGCCGTTCCGCAACGAGATGCGACCCGCCGGCCTCCAGGAAAGCGGGCAGGCTTTCAACAGAGAAGGCCTTCATCCGCGCCAGGGATCTCAGAGCGATCCCAGACTTCTTTTTCGAGCAAGGGGGGTCGTTCTGGCTTGGCCTGAAGGACCCCCCCAAACGGGGCATTACCGCCCCGCCGGGCTGTTCGGGCTTTCCCCTTGGCCCGAAAAGGCTCCCCTCACCTCCTTTCTGGTGCTGTGGTGCGCCACCAGGGCACCTAAGCAAGGGGGCGTTGCTCGGGCTTGGCCCGACGGCACCCCCCACAGGGGGAGCTCCACCGGGGCACCCCAAGCAAGGGGGGTTGTTCGGGCTCGGCTCGAAGAACACCCCCAAAATGGTTCATTTCTGGGGCTGTGGTGCGCCACCAGGGCGCCAAAGCAAGGGGGTTGTTCGGGCTTGGCCTGAAGGACCCCCCGAACGGGGCATTACCGCCCCGCGGGGCTGTTCGGGCCTCCCCCTTGGCCCGAATAAGCTCCCCTCACTACTTTTCTGGTGCTGTGGTGCGCCACCAGGGCGCCAAAGCAAGGGGGGTTGTTCGGGCTTGGCCTGAAGGACCCCCCAAAAGGGCATGACCGCCCCGCGGGCTGTTCGGGCTTTCCCCTTGGCCCGAATAAGCTCCCCTCATCTCCTTTCTGGTGCTGTGGTGCGCCACCAGGGCGCCAAAGCCAGGGGGAGTTGATCGGGCTTGGCCCGACGGCTCCCCCCAAAGGGGTCTTACCACCTCGCGGCTGTGGTGCGCCACCAGGGCGCCAGAACAAGGGGGGTTGTTCGGGCTCGGCCCGAAGGACCCCCCCAAAAGAGACCTTACCGCCCCGCGGGGCTGTTCGGGCCTACCCCTTAGCCCGAATAAGCTCCCCTTCCTTTCTATTGCGGTGGTGCGCCACCAGGGCGCCAAAGCAATGGGGGTTGTTCGGGCTTGGCCTGAAGGACCCCCCCAAGAGGGGCCTTACCGGCCCACGGGGCTGTTCAGGCTTTCCCCTTGGCCCGAATAAGCTCCCCTTCCTTTCTATTGCGGTGGTGCGCCACCAGGGCGCAAAAGCAAGGGGGTGTTGTCCGGGCTTGGCCTGAAGGAACCCCCCAAGAGGGGCCTTACCGACCCACGGGGCTGTTCGGGCCTACCCCTTAGCCCGAATAAGCCCCCTTTCCTTTCTGTTGCGGTGGTGCGCCACCAGGGCGCCAAAGCAAGGGGGGGTTGTTCGGGCTTGGCCTGAAAGAACCCCCCAAGAGGGGCCTTACCGGCCCACGGGGCTGCTCGGGCTTTCCCCTTGGCCCGAATAAGCTCGCCCCCCTCCTCCTTGGTGCTGTGGGGCGCCACCAGGGCGCCTGAGCAAGAGGGGTGTTTCGGGCTTGGCCCGAAGGACCCCCCAAACGGGGCCTTACCGGCCCACGGGGCTATTCGGGCTTCCCCCTTGGCCCGAATAAGCTCCCCTAACCTCCTTTCTGTTGCTGCGGTGCGCCACCAGGGCGCTAGAGCAAGGGGGGGTGGTCGGGCTTGGCCCGAAGGCACCCCAAACGAGGCCTGACCGCCTCGCGCGGCTGTTCGGGCTTCCCCCTTGGCCCGAATAAGCTCCCCTAACGTCCTTTCTGGTGCTGTGGTGCGTGGCGCAGTTACTCACTACGTGTGTTAGGCCTGAGCGTTCAGTGCACATGTTTTGCACGCGCATCCGGCAAGGGCGTGCGGTATACGTGCGCTGACCATGTGCTTCCGTTTATTGCCCACTCTGTGCTCGTGAGTCTGGGCCGAGACTGTGTGCCAAACGCGGGTGCCGGTCTCGTGCAATCGGAACCGTGGCCCGAATGCTGGGCAGGCGTGCTCACAGTCTGGCTATACAAGGGACACATCTAAATCTGAGGATGGATGTCTTATTCAGAGGGCAACTATCGCATCTGTACCCGCTTGGACCCCGTTCAGTGATAGCACAGTTGGGGCACTGCACACACAGACCTGCATAGCATGTGTGCTGGTGTGATTTGTCGCTTCCATCCCATGTGGAGCTTTCCTCCCCGCCCCGTATATCGGCCACGTTCGCAGGACAAGCTCGTGGGTCGAGATTGCTGGGAGCAATTCGGGGGATGCCAGCCCGTCGGGTTTGGTTCGGGGGATGCCAGCCCATCCTCGGCGCGAGCGCCAATGCGGCCCCTGGGGGCCGCCAGGCTCGACCATAGAGGGACCTTTCGCTAAAACATGGCCCCTGCAGGGGCGGATGCATCAGTATAGGTAAGTTGCATGTTGAATTGTCCCCCCTAACGTTGCACAAGTTCGGCGCACGCGTTTACATCCTCGGTGCTGCTGCTGCTGCTGCTGCTGCTGCTGCTGCTGCTGCTGCCGGCCTGGGCCTGCTGCGACGCCTCCGGCGGCCCCGCCGGCGCCTCTGCCGGCCTCCTGAGAGGCCCCCCAGCGCCTTCTGGATCCCCGGGCAACGACGTGGTTGGCAGGGCCCTGGGTTCGTGTCTGCCGCGGCGGCGGCGGAGCTCGACCGTGGCGGCGGCGGCGGCGGCGCGTCTGCCAGCGCTATCCTTGTCGACCCCTGGAGTGTTTCTTCCATGGTCTACCCCATCAGTGCCCGAGGGGGGATGTGAGGAGGACCACCTCAGGTGACCGAAAAGCGTATGCATCTCGGTCCTCAGGTTCACTCGGATTCTTTCCCCCCTCCCTCCCTGCCCCTCCCCCCTCCCGTTTTCCTCTCTCCCCCTCCAGACTCTGGTTTCCCTCCGTCTTCCTCCTTCCTGGCCTCCTGCGCGGTCGGTCGAAACCGCTCGGCGTGGCCCGAGGCGGCCAGAGGCCACTAAGATCGCTCCAAGACGATCCCAGAGGGTCCCGAAACGGCCGAGGAGGACGCTGGTCTCCTCCCTCCCTCGAGCCCAAACTTGAGGGGTCAAGTTTGAGCTCAACTTGAAAGGTCAAGTTTGAGCTCAGTCTCCATCCTCTTGTGGGGTCAATGTTGAACCCAAACTTGAGGGCTCAAGTTTGAGCCCTGCCGGCGTCAATGCTGTTAAAGCGTTTCTCGTGCGGTTGCTTGTGATTGCACTGCGGAGGGCCCTTGTCACTTTGGCGCTGTTTGGTTGTATGTGGGTGCGTGCTTATGATTGTGCTGCCGAGGGCTGCTGACGTTGGCGTTGTTAGGTTGCGTCCGAACGGGAAACGTTTCCCGCATTTCGCCCCTAAGCGGGGACCCAAGGAGCCCCCAAGAGGGACTCAAGCAGCCCCCAAGAGGGGCCACCAAGAGGGTCCCAAATGGGGCCAAGAAGTGCCCCAGGGTGGGACCCCTTGGGAGGCCGTGTAAATGCGCTTAGAGACCCCGTCTGGGCCCGCACGCGCAAGCACGAGCCTCGACAGGTCACCGACTTCGGTGAATTCCAGGGCCTCCCAGAAGGCGAGGCCTCAAGGGGGCCTCGAACGGTCACCGACCTCGGGCAATGTTGGGGCCCTAAGCGCACATCTCTAGATCACAAGTGCGTTGGGGGTGATGCTTGAGCCCCTTAGTCTGAATCGGAATCGCTGCGACGATATCTCAAGTACGTGGTCCAAGCGCTTCTGCTATTCCCCAGGCTGGCGCCTACAAAGGCGTTGCGGTCCACGTTTGACCGCAGTTTACGCCAGCCAGGTTTCACCACAGGCGTTGGTGCCGCAAGGCAACTCTTGCCCGCCCCCCCCTGTCCTGCCCAGCCCTCCTGTCCCTCTTCCTCCCCCTCCTCGCCCGCCGCCGGTTCCGGCTGAGGCGGCAGCAGACGCTGCGGCCCCAGGGGGGCACGAGTGAGCATGGAAGCACACCCGTTGGGCATGTCAGCGCTGCCTTCGATGTGTGAAAGGAGCGCGCAAGCCTTCGCCAACTGTATCCCCTTGCCGGGGGTACAACGCAGCCTTCAGCGATTTGGTCTTGAACCCCCGAGGGCACCCGCTGCACATCTCCAACTACTCGTTGGGAGTAGTTTTTCCCAACCATCCTGTGGTGTTGGGTCCTCGTTTTGAAGAGACGGTCCCCGCGTTCCTCCTCCTCCTCCTCCTCCTCCTCCTCCTCCTCCTCCTCCTCCTCCTCGCCCTCCTCCCTCCAGGGTTCGCATGCCTCCCCACCACCCATTTCGGCACACCCCTCACACGTTTCGTGGCCCCATAGGGAGCTCCACCGAAGGCCCCAGTGGCAGGGTCCGCATGCCTCCCCACCACCCATCTCGGCACACCCCTCACACGTTTCGTGGCCCCATAGGGAGCTCCACCGAAGGCCCCAGTGGCAGGGTTCGCATGCCTCCCCACCACCCATTTCGGCACACCCCTCACACGTTTCGTGGCCCCATAGGGAGCTCCACCGAAGGCCCCAGTGGCAGGGTCGCATGCCTCCCCACCACCCATTTCGGCACACCCCTCACACGTTTCGTGGCCCCATAGGGAGCTCCACCGAAGGCCCCAGTGGCAGGGTTCGCATGCCTCCCCACCACCCATTTCGGCACACCCCTCACACGTTTCGTGGCCCCATAGGGAGCTCCACCGAAGGCCCCAGTGGCAGGGTTCGCATGCCTCCCCACCACCCATTTCGGCACACCCCTCACACGTTTCGTGGCCCCATAGGGAGCTCCACCGAAGGCCCCAGTGGCAGGGTTCGCATGCCTCCCCACCACCCATTTCGGCACACCCCTCACACGTTTCGTGGCCCCATAGGGAGCTCCACCGAAGGCCCCAGTGGCTGGTTCGCATGCCTCCCCACCACCCATTTCGGCACACCCCTCACACGTTTCGTGGCCCCATAGGGAGCTCCACCGAAGGCCCCAGTGGCAGGGTTCGCATGCCTCCCCACCACCCATTTCGGCACACCCCTCACACGTTTCGTGGCCCCATAGGGAGCTCCACCGAAGGCCCCAGTGGCAGGGTCCGCATGCCTCCCCACCACCCATTTCGGCACACCCCTCACACGTTTCGTGGCCCCATAGGGAGCTCCACCGAAGGCCCCAGTGGCGCGGTGCCTATGAGAAGAGGGGCCTAGTTTGCGTGCCCCCTCCTTCGTCTCATATCCGTGCGGTACTCGCAGCTGCATATGGTTGGGTCCTTCGCCAGGCTAATTATATGCAGCACTTGTGGAGCTTATTCGGAGTCGGGGTCGCTGAGGAGGCTCGGCAAGGATTGCTACAGAGGGTTCCCGTCCAATGGGGCGCGGCACTACTGGGATAGATTCACCCGCGGGCAACACCCGAATGCAAAGGTTGGCCCTGCGATTTGCTTGGATGAGTATCTCCCCGTCTCCGCCCTCCGCTAAGTGTTCGGTCGCTCTCAGGAAAAATTTGAGTCTCTGCCGCCGCTCGGTCGTTGTCCTCGTCTTCGTATGCCGCCGTTTGGCCGTCGTCGTCGTCATCGTTGCCCGCCTTGGGTCGAAATGAGGCCGGTCCTTCGACCGCGGGTCGAATAAAACGAGTCTGGGGCAGCAGCCCTCCTCGCCGAGAGCGTTCCAAAGGCCGACCTCGATAGTCCCGTTGAGGGGGGGGGCAGGATTTGTCCCCAGAGTTTCGGCCACGTTCGCCGGACAGCCTCTGTGCTAAAACAGGGCATGGTCTGTGTCACGGGCTCGGTGCGTCGAGGGTTGGGGATCCAGTTCCCCACAGTGGCGCAGGCTATGGGGGCCTGTGAGCTGCCGCTGCACGCCCCTGGTCTGGACCCAAGTCGGGCCCGCTAGCGGGCCCAACCTGGTTCAGCCCAACTTTCGAATTCGACAACGGGTCGAATGCAGGAGGGTTCGGCCACGTTCGCCGGACAGCCTCTGTGCTAAAACAAGGCATAGTCTGTGTCACGGACTCGGTGCGTCGAAGGTTGGGGATCCAGTCACACACAGTGGCGCAGGCTATGGGGGTCTGTGAGCTGCCGCTGCACGCTCCCAGGCTGGACCCAAGTCGGGCCCGCTGACGGGCCCAACTTGCGTCTAGCCCAACTTGCGGAATCGACAGCGGGTCGAAAGCAGGAAGGTCGAAATGAGGACGCTCCTTCGACCGCGGGTCGAATAGAACGAGTCCAGGGCAGCAGCCCTCCTCGCCGAGAGCGCTCCAGGGGCCGACCTCGATCGTCCCATTGGGGGGCAGGATTTGTCCCCCGAGTTTCGGCCACGTTCGCCGGACAGCCTCTGTGCTAAAACAGGGCATGGTCTGTGTCACGGACTCGGTGCGTCGAAGGTTGGGGATCCAGTCACACACAGTGGCGCAGGCTATGGGGGTCTGTGAGCTGACGCTACACGCTCCCAGGCTGGACCCAAGTCGGGCCCGCTGGCGGGCCCAACTTAGGTCTAGCCCAACTTGCGGATTCGACAGCGGGCCGAAAGCAGGAGGGTCGAAATGAGGACGCTCCTTCGACCGCGGGTCGAATAAAACGAGTGTAGGGCAGCAGCCCTCCTCGCCGAGAGCGTTCCAGGGGCCGACCTCGATCGTCCCGTTGAGGGGGGGGCAGGAGTTGTCCCCAGAGTTTCGGCCACGAATCGACAGCGGGTCGAAAGCAGGAAGGTCGAAATGAGGCCGGTCCTTCGACCGCGGGTCGAATAAAACGAGTCCAGGGCAGCGGCCCTCTTCGCCGAGAGCGCTCCAGGGATCGCCCTCGATCGTCCCGTTTGGGGGGGGGGGGGGCAGGATTTGTCCCCCGATTTTCGGCCACAATCGCCGGACAGCCTCTGTGCCAAAACAGGGCATGGTCTGTGTCATGGACGACTATTTCGTGCCCTTTGAAACGCTTGTTGGTCCGAGGGATGCCAGCCCATCCTCGGCACGAGCGCCAATGCGGCCCCTGGGGGCCGCCAGGCTCAACCATGGAGGGACCTATCGTACAACATGGTCTCTGTAGGGGCGGATATTCGGGAAGTTGCCCGTGCCAGAATCTACGTTTCCAGATGGCCTCCGGCCACTCTGCTCCAGAGGACCACCGTGCCCGAGAGGGTGGTGACACCAGTAAACTGGGCCCACTAACGGGGTTAAGGCGCCCCGAAGCCATATCACTTCAAGCTCCTCCTCCTCCTCCTCCTCCTCCTCCTCCTCCCTCCTCCTCCTCCTCCTCCTCCTCCTCCTCCTCCTCCACCTCCACCAGTGGGTCTGGTTTCAAGGGCGCTGGATGTGCGAGATGTGTCCCATTCATTCCCTGACAGAGGCCTCGAAGGCCCGCCGAGACTCAGAGAAGTGCCCTGGATACAGCTTGGCTCTGTATCGCCTTTCGGAGAATCGGAACGGGACACTCGATGTACATATGTATGCATACATGCATACATGCATAATTTAGTACGCCGATATCTACATTACAGTTGTGTGATTTACACGTTCAATAAAAAGAGCTGTTTGCTCGCGTGCTGGGACCGCGGCTCGTATTCAGAACTATGGCACGAGGCTTCCAGAAGACCCGCCCTTGAGCCTCTCCTAATAATCACAAAATGACACCTCAAAATTGCCTCAAAACGTCCTGCCATCCAAAGCAAGGGAACGCGTGGTCTTTCGTTGACCCAATCACTCTCGATATGCTCGTTCGAGAGACGCAGATGACGCTTGGGGGCTCAAGCAGTTGAAGCCAGTGGCAGAAACGTCCAAACCTCTCAGTCAGACGCGAGGGGAACTCCCCACAAGTGACGCTACCATACCATGCCATGATCCTCCTCATCCACCTCCTCCTACCTCCTCCTCATCCTCCTCCTCCTCCACCACCCTCCTCCTCCTCCTCCTCCTCCTCCTCCTCCCCTCCTCCTCCTCCTCTTCCTCCTCCTCCTCCTCCTTCTCCTCTGGTGACGACAACGACGACGACGACCCCGACCACGACCCCGACAGCAAGTCCGACCCCGACGACTCCGACGACGGCTACAACGACGACTCCGACTCGCTGCCTCCCTAAGCGAGAGGCGGGCGGCAGGCGGCAGGTGGCAGGGGCGGCGGCCGCACCCCGCCTGGAGCCGCACGGGGGGGCGCCGCCGACCATCGCTGCGAGCCGCCTCTGCAAGGCCTTCTCCCGCGCGCCAGGGCGCGGCGAGGCGCTCCGGCCCGCCGCCGGCGACGGCGGCGCATCTCTCCTCCGTTCCCTGCTGCTCCTCCTCCTCCTCCTCCTCCTCCTCCTCCTCCTCCTCCTGCTCATGATGTTCCTCCTCGTGCTGCTCCTCGTTCCCCCTCGTGCCGTTCATTCTCTTCCTCCTCCTGCTCCTCCTCCTGCTCCTCCTCCTCCTCCTCCTCCTCCTCCTCCTCCTCGTCCTCCTCCTCATGCTGTTCCTCCTCGTGCTGCTCCTCGTTCCCCCTCGTGCCGTTCCTTCTCCTCCTCCTCCTCCTCCTCCTTCTCCTCCTCCTCCTCCTCCCCATCCGCCCCGAGGTGAGGCCTGGCACCTGTTTTCATGGTGTCAGTGCCGAGCACCCTCGGGGCACACTGTACACGGCACTTAATCTGCAGTTTGGGCGGGGTGCAACCGGCCGGTTTTTCTGGAACTGCAGGTTCTGGGGCTTGGGGTGGACGTTGCGAAACCTGTATCGACGGGTCTCCCGTCGTTGGGTGTAGCACGGCCCCAGTCTCAGCCTGGCCCTGCGGGTGAAGGCGGGTAGCGGCGCCTGTGCGGTCATCTCATTGTGATCTGACCCTCAGGGATCGGCATTTCCTCGGGAGGCGGTGGCTTGTGCCACAGAAGTCCCAAGGAGCCTTGTGCCCACCCAGGGCTGGGGAGCTTGTGCTCCTCGGTATACCGTGCCAGCTGTTCCGACTGGGATGCCTTTGGCTCCCAACGCACCATGTCGGAACCGCTGGGCCGCGAGTCTTCACAGGCGACGTGGTCACCCCCTGTGCCCTTCCTGCGCAGCTGTTGCTGCTCTCCGGGCGGTAGTTCGTTGGCTGGGCGTGTGCGCGGCCTTCGGGAGACCGACCCTGTGCGGCGCCGGACTCCTCCTCCCCATCCTTCCCCCTCGTGCTGCTCAATGATCAACCCTCCGCATCTTGGTCCTATTCCTCCTCCTTCTTCTTCTTCCCCCATCAGCACCGGTATCACCATAGTCTGCATCATCATCAGAAGCAGCATCAGCATCAGCGTCAGCATCATCAGCATCGTCAGCAGCATCAGCATCATCAGCATCATCAGCATCAGCATCATCATCATCAGCAGCACCACCATCATCATCACCATCAACAACAGCATCAGCACCATCGTCATCAGCATCATCATCAACAACAGCATCATCATCATCATCATCTACATCAACAGCATCAACAGCATCATCATCAGCAGCATCATCAGCATCATAGGCATCATCAACATCATCAACAACAAATCCTAGTGTTGCTCATCCTGTTCATTCTCGTCTTCCTCCTCATCCTGGCCCTCCTCCTCCTCAACATCCTCATTGTCATCACACTTGTCATCATCAGCAGCAGCATCATCAGCAGGATTACCATCATCAGCATCATGATCAGCATCAGCATGATGTTTATCATCGTCACCATCATCGTCATCATCATCAGCATCCTCATCATAATCAGAATCAGCAGCATCAGCATCATCATCGCCAGCATCATCATCCTCATCAACATCATCATGCCATCAGTATCATAACCTCATCATCACAAGCAACATCAACATCAACATCACCAGCATCAGCATAATAGATCACCATCACCATCACAATCACCGCCACCGTCACAGACACCATCACCATCACCGTCACCATCACAATCATCGGTATCACTATCGTTCGCGCAATCATCGTCATCACTAGTAGTCACATCAAAGGTCACATCAGCACCATCATGGACATCGACATCGGCATCGACATCGTCGTTGTCATCGCCATTACCATATCATCAAACCATCCTTATCATCATCATCATCATCATCATCAGCAGCAGCAGCATCAGCATCAGCATCGGCAGCAACAGAAACTTCATCCTCGGCAGCATCACTACCAGCAGCATTATCGCCAGCAGCATCGTTATCGTCATCATCAGCAGCAGCTTCATCCTCATCCTCATCATCCTCGTAAGCATAATCAACAACATCGTCATCGTCATCGTCATGGTCGTCAGTATCGCAGCATCGTCGTAGCCATATCGTCATCGTCAGCATCGTCATCATCAGTGTCGTCGTCATCACCAGCATCATCATCGTCATCATCAACATCAGCATCTTCATCAAAATCAGCAACAACATCAGCACCAGTATCATCATAGTCCGCATCGTCATCATCAGCATCAGCATCATAATCAGCAGCATCATCATCATCATCATCATCATCATCATCATCATCATCATCATCATCATTATCATTATCATTAGCATCATCATAATCATCATCTGCAGCATCATCACCACCAACAACACCACCTGCACCGCCAGCATCATCACCATCATTAGCAGCAGCATCGCCACCATCGCATGCATCACCACCAATATCTGAATCAGAATGAGCATTGCAACCACAGTCGTCATCCTTAACATCAATTTCAGCACTTTGATCATTCCCCACAACCACCACCAAAACCATGACGGCACGATTCTCAACATCAACAACATCCTCTTCAACATTGTCATGATATGACTCTGGTGGGCACTGGATCCGGAGGCGACGACGACGAAGGCGACGACGCCTGCTCCTCTTCCACATCCTAAAATGTGGGACCCCCGAATGGCCTTCGTGAGGGGTCCTACACGGAAGACTCTGCTATGTTTTTCGCTCTGCCCTAAGTTGCGAAGAGCAGCTCCCGAGGCCGACGCGTCGGACAGCCGTTGTGCCTGCGTGCCCACTCGACGGACGCTGCCATCGTTCGAGTCCCCGCCGAGGTCGCGGTGCGCGGAGACCAGCTTGTCGGCCCCGAGCGTCCATCTCGGATCCTGCAGCAGATCGGGCAGCAGCTCGCGGTCCGAGAGCATAAAGCGGGTCTTGCCCCAATTGATTGGCAACTGCTTCGCCTCCAGCTCCGCAGTGACGATCGCAAAGCTGCCGATCGTCGCCGACATCGTGGTTGCTGGGCCTCCGATGGTGTGCGTGGTGAGGTCATCCACCACATTCAGCGTTCGACATGGTCGTGTCTCGACCGCGATCCTCCGGAGAAGCGTCAACGTGAGTAGCTTGGCGACTCCTGTCGCCGCGCTGCACCTGGCCACGATCGTGCCGCTCGGGTGGCTGAGGTGGCTGGTGCCGCCAGTCCATCTGGCTCTGCGCGGGGCCCTGTAGAGGCAGCAGAGAGCCTTCAGGAGTGCACCGTCGAAGGCGAAGTGTTCTCCTGCCTGACGTAGCTCTTGGTGGCTAACGTTCTCGTAGAACTTCCGAATATCGTAGAAGACAGTCGTGGCCGTGAGGCCACGCCTGCGCGCATGACAAGACAGCATGTTGTGAAGGTATGCGGCTTTATCACAACTGCTCGCAGCATCCTTACCTCAAAAGAAGTCTGCATCAACCGAGGCCTCCCACTTCTTGACAGAAGATCGTCTGACTCTGCTCCAGATTCTGGCCCAGAAGCAAAGAAGGCCGATAGGCCTGGTGCCCCCGTCCGCCTTGGGCAAGAACATACTCATGGTCACCCACATGTTCACGCAGGTTGGTCTCTTCTCCCATTCAGACAAGATCCCGGCCAGCCTCGAGACGAACACACCGTCCAAGAAAGCGATCAGTCGCATGTGGAAATTGTCCCAGCCGAGCCCCGTAGATGGTCCGAAGCTCTTGCAGGCGTCGACCACCTGCTGCTCACTGATGGGCCCCAAGGTCCAGGCGTAGTTCCAAACCTTGGGGTGCACCTCCTCCGTCCTCTTGGTGGAGATCCACAGGCTCTCCCACCCCTCCAGGGGGAGGGGGAGGAGGAGGAGGAAGAGGAGGAGGAGGAGGAGGAGAAGGAGGAGGAGGAGGCGGAGGAGGAGGAAGAGGAGGAGGAGACGGAGGAGGAGGAGGAGGAGGAGGAGGAGGAAAAGAAGAAGGAGGAGGAGGAGGAAGAGGGATACGATTCCTCCTCTTACCAGGTCCTCGCCCTATTATCTTTCTGCTCATGCCTATTCTCTCCTCCTTCCAGATCTCCACCGCCTCCCTATCCTCCGCCCCCTCCTGTTTCCCCATCAACCTCCTCCTCCTCCCCCCGTCCGTTTACTCCCTCCTCCCTCCTCTCCTCGATTCTCCCGTTCCCCTCCCCCTGACGACGACGACCATCACCACCACCGCCACAACCACCACCACGACCACAACCACGACCACGACGACCACGACCACGACCACGACCACGACGACCACGACGACCACGACGACCGCAACGACGACCACGACGACGACGACCACAACGACGACGACCACGACGACGATGTCCACGACGACGACGACCACGACCACGACGACGACGACGACGACGACGACGACGACGACGACGACGACGACGACAACGACGTGCGAGGGCCCCCGGCCGGCCCGCGGAGAGGGGGCGCGCGAGGACCGGGCCCCGCCCACCGAAGCGCGCCTGCGCGGACTCGGGCACGTCCGCCTCTCGCGGCGGCGAGGGGGCTGGGGGCCCAGGGCGAGGGCGAGGAGGACGAGGGCGAAGAGGACGAAGCGGACGAGGACGGGACGAGGAGGACGAGGAGAAGGACGAGGAGGAGAGTGAGAACGAGAGGGGGAGAGCACGGACGAGGACGAGGAGGAGGAGGACGAGGAGGAGGAGGACGAAGAGCAAGCAAGCAAGCAAATCTCACGGAGTCTCCAGGTGACCTCAGTTACACATCTAAGCCTCGAGCGGCCACGTAGGACTCTGAGGGGGTGGCCAGCCACCTACAATTGTCACATGCGCCGATTGGCGAATTGCACGATCCCGCAGGGCGGGCACTGGCCCATGCCTGCACCTTCCAGGGCACGCGATCCCCTTAGGGGCAGGCCGATAGGCGCGATGCCCACGTCTGGATCATCAAAAAGTTCAAAAAGGTAGCAACAGCAGCTGGCAGACAAGAGGCGGGAAAAAGGGGCAAACATTTGTACTGCTAGACCGCTCGAGTAGCAGCATCGAGAGGAGGAGTATCCGACCGAGTAGCCCACGTCTGTATCAACAAAAAAATAAGCTCCGGCAGCCTTTCCCCGTCCCCATTCCTCTGCGAGAGGAGCGAGCAGAGGAGGGCCTGGAGGGCCTCGCGGCGGGGAGAGTGGTGATGGGAATGCGGGGAAGGCCAGGATGCTCATACGACTAGGCTTGGCCAGTCGCCCTGGCAGCAACTTCAGCAGAGACAAGGCCGCGCGCCACTAGAGAGCTCAGCCGTTCACTCGACGCTAACAGCCTCGATCCTACTACTGGCCTTTGCCCGTACCCTTGCCGTTCAGCAGGCGGACGATATCCCGCTCTAGTGGGCCCCTCGGAGCCGCTCCCGTCAGCCTGGTGCCCCCAGCCTGTCGGAAGAGGGTGAGGATCGTCGTCGTCAGCTCCTCGGCGTGGGGGTGGATGTGGTCGAGGGCCCACGTGAAGTGTGCCATCTTCGGCTTCCCCTCCTGCTGTTTGTGGACGTTCTTGAACACGCGCACCAGCTGGACCATCTCCTGGACGTCGAACTTCGAGAGGTTCTCCATGGTCGCGCACACCTGATCCTGCGTTTCCTCGTCCGCGTACGCCGTCTGGCCCGCCGACAGGAGTGCGATGATGAGGAACAGGTGCGGGCTGCCTCGACTCTGCCAGTCCACCTCGTCCCCGTTCTGGGCGGCCTGACGCAGCTCCTTGCAGCGATCGTAGTAGCCTTTGCCTGCCATGGCGGTCGCCTCGACCAGCGGGCAAATCCGCCTGCACCATGTTCCTATCGTGCAGCGAGGACGTGACCTCCGCCAGCTCGCGCGAGCTGGTGAGGGCCAGGCGTGCCACCGTCGTGATCAGCGCAGCGGCGTTCTTGCCCTTGATGTTGCCTCCCGCCGCAGCAGCCCCTGCGGCCGCCGTCGCGCCGCCCTCCCCCGAGCCCACTGCCGAACCCGCGGGCGGCGAGAGATCGGCTCCGTCGTCCTCGCCCCTGCGCTTCTTGCGCGGATCCAAGACCACGTTGAGCCAGGGAGGAAGGGGAGTGCCTGCCAAGGCCGCCGCCTGTTCGGGCGGCCGCCGACCTAGAGACAACAACTGCAAGTGCTGAGCAACCAAGTGGCTACAGGAAGTAGCCAAATCCCCGAGTTCGGCTGCACACAATCGGCATGTGTAAGCACGAGGCTCAAGTGAAGGCACCAACACGCGACTCCCCTGTGGTGGGCAACGACCTCTTTGCATCGATGTGAGTAAGTGTCGACCCGCGCACCATCTGTCTCTGAACGTGTACCTGCAGCACATTCAAATCCACCGATCCGGCGTGTGAGTTTCTGAGACCGTGGGCTTGAGCTCGCTCAAGCTTCGCTCTGGAGGGGGGGGGGTCGCGGGGGGGGACGCAAACGACGAAAACCGACAAAAGAATTGACACGCGAGTGGGGGGGGAAGGAGAGAGGGGGGGGGCTCGCTCAAGCTTCGCTCTGCAAGGGGGGGGGACGCCAACGACGAAAGAATTGACACGCGAGGGGGGGAATGGGGGGGAAAAGGAGAGAGGGGGGGAGGAGGCGCAGGAGAGAGGGGGAGGGGAGGACAGGAGAGAGGGGGGGGGAGAGAGAGGGGGGGCGGGGAGAGGGGGGGGGGGACAGGAGAGAGGAGGGGGGGGGGGACAGGGGAGAGGGGGCGGGGGGGGGAGGGAAAGGAGAGAGGGGGGGGGACAGGAGAGAGGAGGGGGGGGGACAGGAGAGAGGGGGGGAGGGGGGGAAAGGAGATCAGTCGGATGCCGAGCAGGGTAATGATCCCGAAAGGGTACGCGATGCATTGTAGAGCACGGCATGGCATGGCGTAGAAGAGCACCGCAAAGCGTAGCATCAACCTAGCATTGCATTGCACGCCGTGGCATGGCACGGGAAATGACTCCAGCGCTGCAGCGGGAGAACGAGTCGAAACGAGCGGAAGCGCGGAAATGAGGCCAGCGCTGCAGCGGGAGCACGATTCGGAACGAGCGGAAGCACAGAAACGAGGCTAGCGCTGCAGCGGGAGCACGATTCGGAACGAGCGGGGCCCGAAAATGAGGCCGGCGCCTCAGCGAGAGCAGCATTTTGGGAAAAAATGCAAGCGAAAACCCAACTCCGGGGAAACCTGTGTAAAAAACCGTACGCGGGGGGGGGGGGGGGGGCGGCCACTTTCAAACCGTCATCAGGGGAAGAGGGAGAGTAGTATTCATATTGAAAAATTGTAGAGGGGGGGATAGGAGAGAAGGGGGGGGGGAACAGGAGAGAGAGGGGGGGGGAGGAAAAGGAGAGAGAGAAGGGGGGGACAGTAGAGAGGGGGAGGGGTACAGGAGAGAGGAGGGCAGGTGGGGAGGGGGGGCCGGGATCATCACCATCTCCCTTTCCATCACCATCATCATCATCATCATCATCATCATCATCATCATCATCATCATCATCATCATCATCATCATCATCATCATCATCATCATCATCATCATCATCATCATCATCATCCGGAGCGTCCCGGATCGGCGGCACTGGCCGGAGGCCACTATAATATTGGTAGGGGTCAGCACTGCTGCCATGTTGCGCCTGTGGTGTGCAAAGCGAAGGTGAATTAGTAATTGTTTACGCGTGTAGACTTCCCTCTCCACAGCCAGGTTCAGGACAGATGCAGAAGAACGGGCGTGGACCATTGGGGTGCCTGCCAGGACTAGCCACTCGAAGGGGCAACTGGGGTTTAACCCAACCCTCAAGCCGAAACGGTCCAGGCGGCGGGACCACCACCGTGAACGCCCGCCATCTAGTATTGGTGGCCTCGATAGCCCGAAAGTCCACGCCAGCCTCTAGATCGAAAAAAGGCGGGCGTCGGACGCGAAATCCTCTGAGCACATGTCAGCCAATAGACGTCCTGCCAATGGAAGATCGGTCCCGACCTTTCGAGCCCAAAGAGAGGCCCCCCCTGGTGAGCTTCCCGTTCCTGGTGGGGGAGGGCCTGTCCGAGTTGACGTTCAGGGTGCCGACCAGCAGCACGATGAGCACCTGCGAAGAGCCCACGGGGTCCTTGGCCCATCCTCGGTACAGGCAACGGTAGCGGCGGATGTGCACCTCCTCCCGTGCTCCTACCATCTCCCAATGCTTGAAGATGTCCTGTGTGCCCATCACGACGAGCACCTGCGAAGAGCCCACGGGGTCCTTGGCCCACCCCCGGCACAGGCGACGATAGCGGCGGATGTGCACCTCCTCCCGTGCTCCTGCCATCTCCCAAGTGCTTGAAGATGCCCCGTGTGCTCGTGCTCTGCGCGCGCTCACCCTCCCGAGCAGCGGCCTGGCCTCTCCTCGCGACCTTGGCCAGGCTGGTCAGGCAGGAGCCCGGGAGGCCACAGCCCCTGGAGGTCAAGACGAGAGGCTCCAGGCACGAGAGGAGGGCGTTCTGGACAATCGCGACCTTGGCCAGGCTGGTCAGGCAGGAGCCCAGGAGGCCACAGCCCCTGGAGGTCAAGACGAGAGGCTCCAGGCACGAGAGGAGGGCGTTCTGGACAAAGCAAGTCAGCAGCAAACGCTGATACCGTCCGAACAAGAGCGCGCTTCTTCATGTTCGGCGATCATGTGCATTAGAAGGGGGGGAGGGACCAGGGGGGGGTATAATGTAACGCCTCCCCCCCGCCGCGCGCACGGCGGCAGTGCCCGGAGAGCGCACTGCGCACTGGGGAGGGAGGGGCGTTAGGATAGAGGGGGGGGCGGGGGCTATAATGCCCGGTATGCCCCAAACGATATAAAAAACAAAAATAAAAAAACAAAACAACAAAAAAATAATAAAAAAAAATCAAGAACAAAAATGAAAAAAAAAAAAAAACGCTCCAGCGAGCGTTTAGACCGTCCGACCAGGGGCAGCGACCACACCGCCCCCAACGAGAGGAACGCCTGCCGAGCCGCTGCACGCCTGCGCTCCTCCTGGGGGAGGGGCGGCGGGGGAGCGAGCGCCGCCCCCGCGGCCTGGCAGGCTGGCGCAGGCGCTGCGGCAGATGGCCTGACAGCACCTGGCATCGAGCAAACGATGGCAGGAAGGGTGGCCAAGAAGGAGGAGGAGGAGGAGGAGGAGGAGGAGGAGGAGTTCGGGTACCCTAAGGAGGAAGAGGAGGAGGAGGAGGAGGAGGAGGAGGACAGACCACGTGGGTTTCACGAAAGTGATCCTGTGCTGGGGCCGCGGGAGAGAGAGAGCGAGAGAGAGAGAGAGAGACAGAGAGAGAGAGAGAAACAAAGAAACAGAGAAAGAGAGAGAGAGAGAGAAAGGGAGAGAGAGAGAGAGAGAGAGAGAGAGAGAGAGAGAGAAGCGCGGCTGCAAGGGGTACGCACCGCCTCGGAGTGGCGCTCCTCGTCGAACTCCTCCCCCCGCTGCACCCCGGCTGCGCCCTCCCACGGTTTCCTCGTGGGTCGTCCTCCTTCTGTCCTCCTCGTGGCCCTCTGCCCCCTTCGTTCTACCCCTCATGCCCTTCTGCCTTCTTCATCTCGTCGTCCTCGTCCTACTGATCCTCCTCCTTCGTCGCCTCATGTTTCCTGATCTCCGTCGTCATCCTCCTCCTCAAGTTGTTCCTCCTGCTTCTCCTCATCCTCATCGGACTCCGAGTCCTCTCCCTCAACACCCTCATCATTGCCCACCTCATCGTCCACCTCATCGTCCACCTCGTCCTTGTCCGTCTCCTCCGCATCCTCGTCCTTGTCCCCGTCCTGCCCTCCTCCTCCTCCACCTCGCCCATGCCAACCACCACCTCCAGCTCCACTCGCCCTCCCCGGGTCGACTTCCGGCGTGGAGAGGGCCGCCTCCCGCAGGGCCACTGGGAAGAACGCAGGCCGGGCACCTCCAGTCCCCGTCGTGCCCCAAGCAGGCCGCGCCAGGGCAGAACATCCAGACGCTTGACCCGGAGACGGCGACGTGAAGCGTCGGCGTCCCTCCGATAATGTCTGCCGCCCGGGCGTCATCCCACATCATGAGCCGCCTCCACCGCCGGGCCAGCTCGAGCACCTCCCACATCGTGAGCCTCCTGGAGGCGGCCAGCGAGGTCCGCGGTGATGGGCTCTCTCTCTCGCACCCTGCCCTTGCTGTGGGCCCGGGCCCATCCTGGCTTCTCCTCGGGCCCCCGCCTCACCGCCGATTGACACACCTCGGGGTGCTTCAACTGGCCTCCTGTCCTCTCTACCATTTGGTGCAGGAGCGGCGAGCCTGCTCCGGCAGCTCCATGCCACCCAATTCCACCGCCTCTCCCAAGATCTCCTCGAGTGGCACGGCCTGCCAGACATCTTGCCTTCCAGTAGCCGACCGTGGCAACATGACCTCAGCCTGGGGTGGGCCGTCCTGACCATCTTCCCATCTGGGGTGGTCCACCGATTCCCGGGCCGCCATCGCTTGCGCCGTAGGCCGCCGGGATCATGTCCTGAGGCATGCTGGTCGAGCCGGTGGCCGAGCGTGCGCTGCTGCGGCTCGCTTTCCTGCCGCATGGAAGTCCACCTCTGGGGTGTACTCCTCGAGCGCCCGCAGGTCTACGCCGCCGCCCCCTCCTCTGGCGCGCCTGCTCTGCACCCTCCTGGATGTCCCCCTGCTCATAATTCGCCTGCTCCCTCAGCTGGTGCGCCTTCGCAACCCTGGCTTCCCGAGGGGTCCTCGCCCCAGGCATGGGCCCTCCTCGCTTGACCAACTGGGCCTTGGGCCTTCATGGTGCCCTCCGCGCAGGGCATCAGGCAGGTCGTAGCCGTCTTCGGACGCCCATCCCAAGCCCGTTGCGCCCCATCACTTCGAATTCCCTCTGGGGTCGCAAGCGGGGCACGCTCCAACGACTCCGCCACCCATGCCGCCGACGGGACCTTGAGGACCTCTGGGGGAAGGGGGCAGAACCCGCTGGCCACCTCTGGCCGCGCCACTACACAGTCGAAACATAGCCACAACGACGTGGGTCAAGGACATGGTCACGCTCGCCGCAGGCCCGAGCCCCCATGGAGGTACCCCAAAACGAAGGACGCTCCGAGGTGGAGAGCCCCATCACGAAGAGCACCAAAGCGACGGTCGCTCATTTGACCCTCGTGCCATCTCTTGGAGTCTCGATCCGGAGCGGTCACAGACCGTGCGGTGGCCTCGAAATCCCCCAAGACCTCACCGCAAGGGCCGTCAACGCACGGTTTTGGGACCTCGGATGCCCCGGTCGCCCAACACGTCCTCGGAGAACGACCCAAGTCCCAAAACCGTGCGGTGACCCCGAATCCCCACCGACTCACCACACGGTGTGGCCACCGCGGAGGGCACAGGAGCTCTGGAGGTAGGAAAGGGGTATGGTATAAAGGGGTGTGGTGTTAATTCTATGTAAAGGGGACTCTGGCGATGTGATTTATCGCAGATAGCATCGATATTTCCACGATTGGCACCATACCCCGTTATGTCACACTCCTTTCCTACCTCCAGAAGAACGGGTCAGTCGGCCGCCCACGGCCCCCCCAACCCGGGACAGCCAGAGGAGACGGGGGGGGTGACTGGCTGACCCGCCGAGAGCGCGGACTCCCGGGTCCCAGACATCCGATTTGTGATGTTGCTCCCATCGTACTTCAGGACCACATCCCAGAAGCAGTTTCGAGCACCCGGAAGAATGTCGAAAGAGTCTCGAAACAGTGTAGAAGCAGAGTCGGACGAGTGTCTCCCAGGGCCCGACACGCGAAAACCCTCGAGTTTCGGTACCTTTTCCTGGTGCCCGAAATTCTCTCTGGCGATCAAGGCTAAAGTGGGCTGTAACATCATAACCGATGTGTTCATTTGTGCAACGCGGAGTCCGCGGAAGTCCCGAACCTGTCCTCAGGGCCAACATCGAATCCCAAGCCGTTCTTGACGGTCGGTCCCAGGGCCCAACGAGGGCCCCCGCGCACGCCGAAAACGGGCAACAAGACCCTCCACGGTGATTTGTCTGCGACACGAGCATGTCTGGGCGACCTGCGCCCCGGCAGATCCTTCCAGCACCTCCGCCGATACTGGAGGCCTCCCAAATAGGGTCCGAGTAGATCGGGTCGGAGAGTCGCGCCGATCGCCGATACGTCGGCGATGCATCCTCCTCCTCCTCCTCCTCCTCCTCCTCCTGCTCCTGGTGCTCCTCCCATCAGCAAAAGAAAATGAAGGAACGCGGGAGCATGCCACCGCCCCCATGAAAGCGAGACGGACCTGGCAAACACTACAGAAAAACGGTAACTAGACTTGTGGGGCGCAGGGGACAGGAGGCTTAGAGGGTGAAGCGTACTTGACGCCCCGAAGGCAGTGGACGCAGCCCGTGGGAGAGGAAACCAGCGACAACTAAACCAATGGCCGAAAGGAGAGGGGAAGCAAGGCAAGAGAAGAGGGGAAGGAATCGAGACTGGGTCCAGGCTCGCGGTTTCCTCTTCTCCCCCCTCCGAAAAACTTGCAGTGGTGTTCCCGCCTCTTTCACGTACGGAGAGGGACTGGTTCTCAGCGCGTCGCTGAGGCGGCCTCGACGACACGCTATACTTTGCAAGCGGATGGCGTGACGCGTGCCGCTCCCCAGGGCGGAAGGCGTATAGCGTTTCGTTCCGCTGCCCGTTGACGCTTGGGGACTGGGACGTGGTTAGTTAGCGTGTCGCGCCGAAGCATGGTGGGCCAGAACCGGCGGCGCGACACTTTTGCACTAGCGCAAGAGAAATCGGCCAGTGGCTGAGGAAAAAAGAAGAGAACAGAAAAGGGGGAAGGGGGGAGGGAGGAGAAGCAGCCAAAGCAGGCAATGCAAGCGGCGCAACCGGCGGCCGCCGCCTGGCGCCCCGGCTTTACGGCGCGACACGCCAGGCAAAAGATCCTGGCCGTGATGCTTTGCGAAAGGTTTCTTCTTCGGCGTTTCGACATTGGGCGGAAGAGGGGGGAGGGTTCTGGCTCCGGACCTCTGCTTCACGAGGTTGTTTGAAACAGTGCGTCGTATGGGGGAGACACCCCCTGCTTGAGACAGGCGCCAAGAACAGCCAAGATCTACTCCTTGGGGGGGGGGGAGGGGTGCGTGGGCCCGCGCCGATCGGAAAAAACAATGCATTACAAACGATCACTTTTTCACACGCAGATTTGAATTACTCTGCTTCTCGTTCTCGTGGGGCCTTTTTGACTTTGCGCATTGGCGTTCCCGCTGTAGCGCTGGCCATCTTCCAGGATCGGTACCTAAAAGCGCCCATCGCTCAGAGTGGCGTCCCCGCCCCGGCGCGTCTGGATCCGACGGTTTCCTCATCGTTGCCGCCCCGCCTCTTCTACCCTCCGCCTTCCGCTCGCCTCTCCCTCCGTCTCGGGAGCGGCCAAAAGGGCGGCGCTCAAGAGGGGGGGGGGCGCAAATCCTGGCCAGGGGCACGTGCTCGGCCCAAGGGGGGGGGGGCCGGGGACGCAATGGAATAACAAGAGGCGCCATGAGATCTCGGGAGATGATCGTGGCCCCGCCGTGATATCCACCCCCCCTTCGTCATCACCCCCCTCTTTGCCGCCCCCGATCCTCCTTGGACGCCGCCACGACCGCTCCCCTGCCGAGCGACGGGTGGCGTCGGCGCGCAGGCGGCGCCCGCGTCGGCCGCGGCGCCCGCGTCGGCCGCGGCGGCCGGCCCGTCCGTGGGGGCCGCGTGCCGACCCGCCTGGGCGCCTCCGCACGGCGCGGGCTCCGCCCCCTCGCGCCGTGCGGCACGGCGAGCGGGAGCTCTGACGCTGCTTGAGGCGGTCAACGCTGTTGCAGTGGAGATGCAACGCACTTGCGGCTATGGTAGATCACATCGCCGCCTTCAGCATGGGCACCGCACCCCTTCACGCCGCACCCTTTCGCGACCTCCAGAGTGCCGCGCGGGCCGCTGCTCGCCGGGAGGCGGCCGGCCCCCCAGCGCGGCGCACGGCTTCCGCACTGCATGCCGCTGGACGGCACGCGCCCCTTCGAAGGCGTGGCCCCAACATGCAGCGGCGTCCGCGCCTCGTTCGAGGACACGCGTGGGTAACGGCGAGAGCCCGCCTTCATGCAAAGACGGCTTCCACGACGAAGGCATGGCGGTGCAGCTCACAAGGCTCTCGCCTCCCGAGGCGTGCCGGGAACGGCGACAGCCGCCGCGACGGGCCCACGCGCGTGCGCTGGCTGGTCGGTTGGCGCCTGGCCGGGCGCGGCGCTCAGGCACCGCCAGGGAGGGGTCGCCCCCTCCCCAAAATGTGCTGTTCCGTGGACCTGTCTGGAGTCGACGCGTATCAGAAGGATGCGCGATAAAAGGGTGCGTGGGCCGCGGAAGGCCATGTCCCCACTTCGCGAGCTGGGCGCGCGGCCAGCGAAAGTTGCCACGGAAAGGCCGAAGGAGAAGGATGCAGGGGTCATCTTGGAAAGCCGCTCATCCTTACTGTGTGGGCCGACTGTAGGATGAGCGGGCCTGGACCTTCGGAGGCGGCCGCGCAAACGCCCGCCTTCATGTCGCGCGCGCGTTCTCCTCTTCATCCTCCTCCTTTCCCTCCTTCTCCTCCTCCTCCGACTGGAGGCTGTATCAAGGCCTGGGCGGATTCTACGCTTTTTCGATATCCACCGTTTGAGCCTACACACGAGCGCACGACACATGAGAAGCTTGATACTAATGTCTTTACGGGCGGTCAGGGTGTCGGGCTTAGGGGTCGCGCTTTGTGGTACGGGTGTTAGTGTCTGGGCTAGGGTGTCATGGTGACTGCGTCAAGGTGCTAGGATGATGGGTTACATGATTCGGGTTAGCGTGCTGGAGTCGGACGTCCGACTAGGGAGGGGGCTAGGATGCTAGAATTACGGTGATGTGGTTAGGGTTACCATGCGATGGTCTTAGGTTCAGCGCTAGGGCGTCGGTGTTAGGGCGAATGCGTAGGGAAAAGGTGTTAGGATTACGATATAAAGTTGAGGGTTCTCGGGTGAACGGGTGTTAGGGTTAGGGTGTTAAGGTTAGTCCGCTTCGTGGTCTAATGTTTGCGTCAAGGGGATCTGGCCAATGTTACGCTGTCTAGGGCAGGGTTAGTTTTCGGGGCTCGGATGCTAGGGCTAGGGCTGGGGTGTTAGGGTTGTGGTGTCAAGGTTGGGGTGCTGAGATTAGGGCAGTAGGGCGTGAGGGTGGGGATGTCAGGCTCAGCGGTACTTCTTAGTTGAAGTAAGAGAGCACTGTTGAGAATGCGGGCGCCAAGGTTAGGGTGTCAGGGTCCTGGTGGCAATGTTGTAGCGTTACGGCTCGCACTAATGACGAACGCGGTATGAGTGCCGCTCGTGGCGATCTGCGTCGCGGGAGGAGGGCAGGAGGCAGAGGAGAAGCAGGTAGAGTGGCATGTGGGAGTCTGATGGGGAGTGACCGTCTTAGTTTGGGGAGTCTGGCGTGCATCCTCGGGCGCATGTCCAAGCGGAACTCACCCAAATGAGTCGTGCGGCGAACGCGGAACACACGGAGCACGATATACATTAGGAGGAGGAGGAACAGGACGCGGAGGAGGAGGAGGAGGACGACGACGAGCAGAGCGGGAGGAGGAGGAAGAAAGGCAGAGGAAGAGGAGGAGAAGCATCCGCATCAGAATGCGGAGGTAAACTTTCAGGAAGAGGAGGGGGTTGGATGAGGAAGCACGGGGAGGCCATCTTCACAGGTCCCTGCAAGGGGAAGTGCCCCGTTGGGAGACAAACATTTGAAAACCTGGAAGTGTGGCAAAAAAAACGCCATTCCTGGAACATCAACGCCGCAAATCACCGTTACTGTTGCGCCCTGACGATCCTGAATCGTGCCAGAACGCCGTTCCTGGACTTCGTCACCGCGAATCAAAGTGACTGTTGCGCCCTGGCAACCCGACACCGCGCCAAAACATCATTCTGAGGCGCTAACCATGAACATCCTCGAAACAAAAATACAAAGCTTAAAACGAACGGCACTAAGGCGAGAACAGCATATTGAAAACCATCCGCCCTCCACCCGCAAAGCTCGTGCATGTTTTACTCCGAGAATGCGCGGCGCGATGGCGAGAGCCACATTTGAAAAAACGGCCCTCCATAAGTGATGATGATGATGAGCAGGGGATGATGAGGTGATGGTGAGAAGGAGGAGGAGGAAGAGGAGGAGGAGGAGGAGGAGGAACGATGAGGAGGACAGATGATGATGATGATGATGATGATGATGATGATGATGATGATGATGATGAGGATGCTGATGATGATGATGATGCTGATGAGGATGAGGATGAGGATGAGGATGAGGATGAGGATGATGATGGTGATGGTGATGGTAATGGTGATGATGATGATGATGATGATGATGATGATGATGATGATGATGATGATGATGATAATACTGATGATGAGGAGGTGGCGCGGAGATGAGCAGGAGGAAGGGCGGTGAGAGCGATTGTCAGAATGAGCGATTAGAAGAAAGTGGGTAGAGAGCTGCGGGAGGATGGGAGAAGGGGATGACAAGTACCAGGGTGGGCGGGCGGGAAGATAGAGCACGAGGAGAAATAGGAAATAGACGGAGGGTGGCAAGACGAAGAGAGGAGCTGATATGAAACGCTGAAACCGCCCAGGCCTTCATGCAAACCGGCGCCCTTTCGACCGGGCCGCCCCTTTATACAAGCTGGCGCCCCTCGATCATCCTCGTCCTCATCCGCCTCCTGCTCATCCGCCGCCCGCTCTGTTTCTTCCGATGTGGAAAAGCCCCCCTTCCTGATTACGCAGCAACTAATGGGCCGAATCCTGCCATCGGCATTTGGGCACTAAGGTCCTCTAGGACACCCCTGGTAGGCGAGGCAGGACGTCGGGTGCCGGATTTGGCGCGATGGCACCAGGCTTGCATCCCTCTCCTCCTATCGCTGGCCGGATCGGAGGACAGACAACGGCGGGCGGCCCTCGCGTTCGACCCAACTCCACCCAAAATTGGTCCGTGGACCCCTGTGCTCCATCTTGGCCCGTTTTTCGGAGCGGATCCAACCGTAGCGACGATCAGCCTCCAGGGGCCACCAACAAACAAGATCAACAGACGCCAGGGAGGGCCGCCGTTGTCTCGACTGGCCCTGCTCCTAACATCTCTCCCTCCTCTCCTTCCCAGACATCCGACAATGTGATGCTTTCAATCCGCGGTCCCAGAGGCAAAGAAGCCCCCGCGCGCGTATGAGGAAAGGAGACAAAATATGCTCGGGATCACGCCGTCATGGCTTACGGAGTGGTGCATCTGGCGCTCAGGCGCCAGACCTACGAATCGGGAAACAAATCCCGAAACGTGGAGCCAATGCAGACTGATTTGGCACACGGAAATGGGCCCCGTCGCCAATGCAGGCGCCTGACCATACGGAAACGGGACCCGTCGCCAATGCACGCGCCTGACCCAGACATCCGGTGCACGGACCTGTGCAGCGTGGGGACCCGGAGGCCCCGACCTCATCCCCAGGGCGGGCGTTGCCTCCCGAGTCGCTCCTGACGGTCCCATTGGGGCCCAGCGAGGGCCCCCGGGAGCCGAAGGTGGGCACAAGCCTTCCGCCGTGATGTTTGCCCACGGCGCGAGGAGGAGGAGGAGGAGGAGGAGGAGGAGGAGGAGGAGGAGGAGCTTGCGCTTCCTCGAGACGCCCAGGCTAAGAAAGCCACTCCGTCGAAGCTCCGGGCCCTCCCGCTGGCCGGAGCTCCCCGCCGCCCCCCCGGGCGGGCGGTCCTCCGCCGCCGCCCGGGCCCCCATCGGCGGGGCATGGGAGGCGGGCGCCTCCTCGGCCGGGGCCCACGACCTGCGCGCTTCTCTCGGGCTGGGCTGCCAGGGGAGGCCAGGGGGGGGGGGGAACGCCGGGGGGGGGAAGCATCGACCTGGAATCAGCGATGCAGGGCCGATACATCGGTGATAGGCTCTCGACAGCGGATACGCACCTTCTTGAGCAAGCTGAGCTGTCGGCTATCATAGAACAAGGAACAACAGCATAAACAGAAACGTTGGGCGCTTCGCGCGGATTTCTTGGATCTGCACTGGATCCTCCTCCCTGGCGCGCGGAGCGCGCCAGGGGCGGCGGCGGAGGCGCCGCCGGGGGGGCCCAGCGCGGATCCAAGAAACCCGCGCGGAGCGCCAAAAGTGTATGTGTATGCCGCTTTGTTCTTCGACATCAGGCACCGAATGATCGGCGATGGAGGAGCGACGACAGGTCGATGCATTCCCCCCTGAGCCTGTCCCAGCTGACGAGGCCCCTGCCAGGGGGGGATCGGGCAGTGCCGAAGGGGGGTGGGTCACCGCTACAGCAGGCACGTACCATGAGAGATCTCGCCATGAGAGATCCAGGCGGCACATCCTTCGTCGACTCTTGAGACTGAGAAGGAGGAGAAGGAGGATGAGGAGGCGGAGGAGGAGGGGGGGGAAGGAGGGGGGGAGGAGGGGGAACAGGAGGGGGAGGAGAAGGAAGAGGAGGAGGAGGAGAGGACGAGGAGAGGGGACGACGAGGAGGAGGGGGGAGGACAAGGAGGAGGAGGAGGAGGAGGAGGAGGAGGAGGAGGAGGGGGAGGTGCAGGAGGAGGAGAAGGAGGAGGAGGAGCAGGAGGAGGAGGAGGAGGAGACGGAGGAGGAGGTTCCCCGAGGGTTCTGACGGCCCTTTGGGGACAAGAGAGCTCTCGTGGGGCACCCCTGGGCAAGCCAACTTCGTAAGTCTGGCGCGCCCGCCGTGGAGGGGCCACCAGCTCCGCCTGGACATCGACGACCGAGAAGGAGGGAGGGTCGAGGATCGACGATGTCTTGGGGGTTTGGGGCTAGTGGCGAGCCCGGGGGGGAAGCGAGAAGGGGCGGGCCTGCTCAGAAGGCTCGGAAGTCCCCTGGCCTTCTGAGAAGCTTCCCAGACCGCCCCCGAAGACACAGAAAAAAACTTCTCAGAAGCCACGAGGGCTTCTGAGAAGTCCCGCCGCCTTCTGAAGACGACTACTCCTTCACGAGGGAAACAAACCATGACGTAAATATAGAAACTCAGAGGTCCGCGCGGATTTCTCGGATCGGCGTTGGACCCCCCCTGGCGGCGACTCCGGCGCCGCCCCTGGCGCGCTCCGGAGGAGGAGGAGGAGGAGGAGAAGGAGGAGGAGGAGGCAGGAGGAGGAGGACGAGAAGGCCCCCGTCGGGCCTGCCGCCGCCACCAGAAGAGGGAGGGAGAGGAGGGGGCCCCGAGATCTGGTCGTCGCGTTTTTGTTCACGCCCTGGCGTTTCCGCCGCTCCTCGGGCCGCCGTGACCCTCACGGATCGATGCGGCTCGAGAAGCGCCGCCAACATATGGAGTCGTGGGCTCCAGAAATCACGCTTCCTGGCGTTCCAACTTCTGGGCTGTTCTTTCGGCTCCCGGGACAAGCAAAATCGATTACGCGTGGTGACTGGTGACTCTACCCTTACCACAAAGGCATGGCTGGCCGCGCCCTTGGGACTGCCAGGCGAGGTCCCCTCAGGAGAAAAAATCCTCCTTCTGCAGGGGTCGCCCTGGCTCCACAACTCGTGAAGAATCCCCGCACGAGGTGCTCCATCGGCGAAAAGCGTCACGTCATCCCCTCTCACCCAGAAGGCGAACCACACACGGCCAAAGGGCAGCCCAGCTGTGCGATGCGGGTCGCAGTCCCGCCTGCGCGCAGCTCGCACGGTCTGAGAGCCGGCACCTCCTGCGTGGACGCTGACACCAGCTGTGGCACAGCAGGTGCCTCGGTCTCGATGGTGGCGCCGTTGTTCCTTTTCCTGGACGGGTAACTCCCACTGTGCCTGCGGCCCCTTCGCATCAACCAGCTCCTCGATTCTTTTCTACTAGCTAGCGCATGCATGAGGCTATCTCCATAAGGCTGCCCCTGGGGGCCCCACCCAAGAAACTAGTGGCAGTAGCTTCGTCGGATCGGATCCCAATGGCGCTCCAGCTATCACTTGAGAAAATTGCCTCCACTGCGGCCCCCATACTGCCCCAAAGAAGCCCCAAAACGGCTCCAAGATGGCACAAGACTTCCGCCCACCTCCGCGTGTCTCATCGGACCCAGGGATGGAAATCAGCTCGAAGGCATCAAAGGTATCCAAGATTCCCCCCAAAAACCTCAGGACTGCCCCAAATATCGTCCGAGCATCCCCTGTGAATGCACCCCCAAGACGGGCCCCCGAGGCCCATAGGAGGCTGCCCCCCGAGCACGACTTGAACACTCGCTTGGTTCAAAGACCCCCTGATTGGAAGACTTTGCGCGCGAGGTGCTCCCCCCCATGGGTGCCTGCCGAAACTACCGCCCTGCGGGCTCAGCAATAGTGGGCATCCAGGAGCGAAGTAGATATCCAAAGCTTTTACAGCCACGACCTCGGCGCAGAGACGACGTGACTCCACCAAAACGCTCGGGAACGGAGGGGGCTGCAAAGAATCCGCCACTGTGCCGCTGGGCACGGAGTGGGCGTGTCCTCGGGTCCTCAGCCCACACTCCTGAACAGTCTTGACGGGCCCGGAGCCCGGATTCTCCTCAAATTTGGCGAGGCTTCCCGCGTGCCTCCTGGGCCCCCTCCCCCGCGGCTTGTCGATTAGTTGTTCGGGCCCACGAAGGCCCCAAGACGGGCCAAGAGGGCCCCACGAGGCCCCCAAGACGGTCCAAGAGGGCCCCGAGTCGCCGAAAGATTGTTCCAAGACGCCCAAGATGGCCTCAAGATGGCCCAAGAGACCTCCAAGACGCCCCACGAAGCCTCCAAGAGGCCTCCCAAGAGGGCCCCAAGAGGCGAACATCGTTGACTTGATTTAAATGTTTGAAAGATGTTGGCATTCTAGCCTTTCCTACTTTCCGACGCTCCAAAACGTCCAAGAGGCCCGCAAGACCACCCCAAGACGGTCCAAGAGGCCTCCAAAACCACCCCAAGACGGCCAAGAGCGCCCCAAGATGGCCCAGGAGGCGACCAAGACGGCCCAAGAGGGCCCCAAGACGGCCCCAAAAGGAACCCAAGAGAAGCAACACGAACCGAAAGTCCGAGTCTTCCGCCCCAAGAAGCCCCCAGGAGGTCCCAAGAGGCGCCCAAGAGGCCCCAGGAGACCACCAAGAGGCCCCCAAGAGGCCGTAAGAGGCCCCCAAGATGAGGCCCAAAAGAAATCCCAAAGGGCCCCTAAAAAGCGCACAAGAGGCCTCAAAACTGCCTCTCCAAGAGGCCCCCGAGAGCCCTCACACGATATCCCAACGAACATCCAATAGACTTCATACCCACAACCCAGGCACGGTGCCCTGTGGTCTTGCCACAAGGGTGCCTGGAGTGCTGAACCCCACTGGTTTGGTTTTGGTTCTGTTCCAAAACCTTTCCCCCTGGCGCTTCAGCGCGTCCCGCAGGCCACCCAGAAGACCTGGTTGCCACATTGCTCCCGGTCCAGATGGCTTTAAGATGGCCCCAGGTGGCCTCCAAGACGGCCAAGATGGCCTCCAAGTTCGCACAAGATCGTCCAAGATGGCCTCGAAGATGGCCTAAGAGAGTCCAAGATGCCTCCAAATTCGCCCAAGAAGCCTCCAAGACGGCCCAAGCCGGCCTCAAGATGACCTAAGACGGCAAAAGAGGCCCCCAAGAGGCTTCCAAGACGGCCCAAGAGGCCTCCAAGAGGGCCTCCAAGACCGGAAGAGGCCCAAATCATTGATTTTCCGCAGGTTTTGACGGATGATGGCATTTGCTTCTTTCGGCCTTCCGACGGCCCGAGACGGTTCAAAAGCCTCCAAAGATTGCCCCAAGATCGCCCGAGAGTCCTCCAAGATGGCCCCAGAACGGCCCAAGAGGCCCCTAAGACGGCCCAAAGAGGGCTCTCAAGCGGCCCAAGAGGCCTCCAATAATCCCAAGATGGCCTTCAAGACAGCCCTGGAACACCCCAAGAGGGCCCCAAGTCGGCCCAAAGAGGCCCCCAAGACGGCTTCCGACGGCGTCAGACGGGCCAGGAATGCCCTGAGACGGCCAAAGAGGCACCCGAGAAGCCCCCCAAGGCCCCCAAGAGGCCCAAGGAGGCCCTCAAGATGCCTCCAAGACGTTCCCAGGAAGCTCCCACGAGGCCTCAACAGTGCCCACAGAGGCTCCCAAGATGCTTCCTCCTCCTCCTCCTCCTCCTCCTCCTCCTGATCTTCCCCGCCATCCTCCCACAAGTGTTCCCCGAGGGATTTCCACAACGGCTGGGGGAACAGATGGTCCGATAGCTTGGTAGAGCTCTTACCACAACGCTCGGCCACATGGGCGATTCCAAAAGGCAGAGGGCGGCGGTGAATCGCCGTAGGCGCCTTCGATACTTTGATGCAAGCGGGAAGAAGGACATACAGACTCGATCCGAATGTCTGCCGCAGTGGGCGATGAGAACACTGCAAACCTGCAAACAAAAAGCTTGTCGATGAGAAAGCACAATAACATGTGCTGGTGATGCCCTCCGAGGCCATGCTTTGAAAAGCCTCATACTAGAGCAACATCGGGTGGGTACCGGCTGGTGTCTCACCCGAATGGCGTATTCAAAAGCACCATTCGATGACATGCCTGGCAAACCCCCCACTACACGAGAGCGACATGCCCAGCCGACCCAAGCCGTGCTGACATGCTGAACGAACCAATGTTTCCGTCGCGGCCCAACTACAGCTTGGCCTGCATCGCCGGCCCCACCATCTGCTGGCGGATCGCCAGGTCCGCCATGACCTCCTCGCTGCCCCCGAGGATGGCCGCGTACTTGTACGTCTTCTGGAAGCGCTCCTGGGAGTTGCCGACTTGTTCGAGGAGGTGCCGACGGTCGGGCCTTCGACCCTCGAAGGCCGCAAAAACCGTTCAAAGCCGTCGTCCCGAGAGGCTCCCCAGAGGTTAAGACCCCTACTTGTACTTGTACGTCTTCTGGAAAAGGGGCCAAGAAGTGGAACCTGGCTCGGGGCTGCGGGCGGGACATCGGCCCGGCATCGGCGGCGCCTCGCCGATGGGTCGGCGAGGAGCACCCGACAGGGACAATCGCACGGGGTGCGGCACGCATGCCCTGGTCAGCGATGGATCCACCCCTTTCCCCCGAACACCCCTCGAGGAGGATCCCTCGAACACCACGAACGCGGCGTCGATTGACTCGAACGCCCGACTGCGCGGCTTGTCGAACACCCCTCCAAGAGGGGGAGGGAGGAGGAGGAGGAGGAGGAGGAGGAGGGGGGGACGAGGAGGGGGAGGAGGAGGAGGAGGAGGAGGAGGAGGAGGAGGAGGAGGAGGAGGAGTGCACGCATCCGAGGGGGGGCACGTGTCCCAGCTATGCGGCGAACGGGACAGGCCGCGCCGTAAGCAAGCCGATCACGGCTACCGGAAACGGACAGGAGGAGAAAGAGGAGGAAGACGATCTGGATCTACCCAAGTGGCCTGTCCGAAAGTCCGGAACAAAATGCACAAATCGCAACTCGACAAAACAATTGACTGGGCCCGAGGCAAAGTCGCGAAACCATGACCTTATCATCACGGCCTGCCCTGAGCATGGCAGGCAAGAACACTGCTTGCCGCCCCAGCTCATGGGGACAGGATATTCCTGGGTGGCGGGCCCCCACTCACCCCAACGGTGGCGCACGGAAGCGGGTCGCATTCTACTTGGGGGTTGGGCCGCTCGCATCGGGCCTGACTTGACCAAACCCTGAACGCGCCTGTACGTTTGTGGATCTACATCGCGGGGGTGGGGAGGAGGAGGAAGGAGAGGAGGAGGAAGGGGAGGAGGAGGAGGAGGAGGAGGAGGAGGAGGAGGACGTTCGGAGAACTCCATTGCCGTCATTGCCTCATCGCCCCAGGAGGAGGAGGGGAAAAAGGAGGAGGGTAACGTTCGGAGAACTCCATTGCCGTTCAGAGGAAAGAGAGGAAGGGGAGGAGGAAAAGGAGGAGGAGGAGGAGGAAGAAGGGGACAAGCAATGGGGACCTCCAGCCGTCTCTCCTCTCCTAGTGTCTTCACCTCGGCTTATACCCCCGCCCGCGCTGCTCGTCCTGCGCGGCCCTGCGCGGCCCTGGCCACGTCGGACCGCGGCGTGGGCCCCACCTGCATATTGCCCACCTCGTGTTCCGGCGCAGCATTGACCGCCAAGCGGATGTCGATGTGGTCCCGCTCTCCGTTGTCGCCCTGTCCAAACTCGACCTGGCAACCACGCCCCGAAGTTGATCACTACTTTGCCGTCTGCCTCGTTCCCCCCTCTGTGGCTGATCTTGCCGCGGCACATGTTGAGGATGTTGGCTGTCTGGCGGCGCCCCTTCTCGCACTCTGAGTAGCAATCTTGGAGAATGCTGACGCGTTTTGAATTCAGATCGACGAGAACCATGGCCGCCTCCAACAGCGCCAGCAAAATGTGGATGAACGGGGTCCGAGCCAGTGGTTCTTTTTCTCGCGTTGCACAACCGCGGCGTCCGTTTGGCCTGCTGGCAGCATCCATTATGGGATAATCTTGGTCTTCCCGAAAAGACAGGCGCCGACTGCCGCCGAGCCGATTTCGTGAATTTGGTAACCGAGGGAAAGAATCAGGCGCCGCACGGATCTCGCCTCTTAGCATTCCGTCGTGCTCACTCGGCTGACCCAGACAACCCCTTCCGTGCAATCTCGGGTTGAGGCTGCCCCGCCCCCTCTAGCTTCGGCAGGCGCTGCGCGCGCGGGAAAGGCCCCGAGGTCGATGCACTGCGGGCGCGGCAGGGCCGCGGCGACGCACTCGCGAAAGGCGCGACGGTCTGGAACCAGAAAGCTACAGCATGGACACGCGCGTTGATCTGGATTGGGCTCGGCTACGGGGTGGCTTCATCTCGCTCGATCAGCCTCGCACTCCCGCGCCCTTTCCACGCTCTGCCACGCGCGGAATGATGCAGGGCATTTGGTTTTGAAAGAAAAACGGCACCAGGGGCGAGGGGCGCTCGTTCGTGATCGCAGCCGAGAACACGGAGGAACGGATGTTGCGCGCTACACGTGCACGAAATGCACCCCGAGAAACTGGCACCCGCGCGCGTGCAGGAGCCCACGGCTTCGCCTCCAGGCTATGAAGCTCGTCCGAGGAGTTCATGGCGCGCGGGGAAGGGTCGCCAACGACTGGTGGTCCGCCTAGGCCAGGCGGGGATGGGGCACTTACTCCATGTCCCAGGCCCCTCGATAAATCGACGTCGATCGAGCTGGACTCGAGGGGGGTTGGGCCTCTGAAGCCGCCCCAGATAGTGTCTAGCTGGTTCCACCAGGTCTCGGCGCACTCTTCCTCCGCCGGAAACTCTTGGCCCCGTTGCACACGTCTCCCCCGCGGCGTCGACAGCGACCCCGCGCGGGCCCCCCGCCCCCCCAGCCCCTGCATGACCAACTCCTGGTTCTAAAAAATGGCACCTAACGCAGCCGCAAGAAACTGGCCTCCATCTCGGGTTTCTCGGACGAGGGCCTGGTGCCATTTTAGTCGACGAACTCGGAGCTCCTCGAAGCCGCGGAAGGTTTTCTATTCGGCGAGGACCTGGCTCGCGCGTTACGTCTGAACCCGGCCCACCCCCCCGCGCGCCCCCCCCGCCCCCCCAGGCCCGGCGCGCGCCCAAGCGCGCCCGCGCTCGCGCGTTCAGACTGCCAGATAGTTCTGCCAAGACCCTACCGAGCCAAACGCAGCGACGGCATTCCATGACCAGAGCCCCCCAAGCGGACGCGACACGATTCTGGGCGCTTGCTGCGAAGAGGCATTCGTCGACGCAGAAAAAGACCTGTTTGCGCCGTGCTTGACCCGAGCGGCGCCAACCTGCCCGCGCAGCCCGCGCCCCAAAGTCGACCCCATGCACCGACCGGGCCGACGGCGCTAGAGCAACGCCCCAGCACTCGCATCAACCGGGTAGGGCGCGGAAGTAAGCTCGAGGCGGAGGACGACGAGCGCCGCGCAGCCTGCGCCCCGTCAGCCCGCCGCCGCACGTGGGTGTTCTGCTTAGCCGAATTCAACGCGCGCCAACTGCCACTGATGCGACGAGCAAGCCAGGCACCGCGAAGGGCAACTCGCTCTTCGACTCGAGCTGCCGAGGGGCCACGGAAGAACGTGCGCTTCGGCAACTTTGGCAATGTCGCCTGCGAAGTCGCCGCAGAGATGTCGCGCACACGCCCTGTAACAAGGCATTAATGCGAGGCTCCATTTCTCTCCTTGCGACTCGCCCCTGACCAGCTCTAGCCTGCTTTGCGCGCCAGCGTTGCAGCATTCCGCGAAATCGCGAGGCCCCAGCGCGCAGCTCGCGCAGCTGCCGAGGGATGACGGAGCGACAAGCCATCTTGCACATTCGCAGACATCGTCGCCTCGTCGATAATTCTACGACGCCCTCGCAGGTCATCACCGCGATCATATCTGCAGCCGCGGGCGCGAGGGCATTGTCGGGCAGCGCATGCAAAGGTGTTCGCCCGATCGTCGCTAGATGTCGCCGTTGATGCCCCCGACGCTTTCACGCCCCATCTCGCGCGCCCGATGGTGGCCGTCGCCGCTTCGCGTTGCCATCGGGGCGGACCGCCTTGCACCCGCTCGGGGATATCAGAGCAACGCTCGCGCCTGCGACGTAGCTCCCCAGCGCCGATGGCCATCGATGCGCTATCGGACGCACGCAGCGCTCCGCGGCAAGCAACGCCGTCTACGCCATTTCGTTCGTCAGAAGCACGCGCGCAGGATCGTCGGGAACCCCTGGGGGGGCGGGGGGGGCGCCTCGCAGGCGCACGCGCGCCAAACAATCGAAAAGGGCTTCTGCACAAAATTCAAACGTTTCCAAAACGAAAACCGCCCCCAGCCCACCTCCCAGCCGGCGCGCCGCGCTGGCGCGATCTGAGGCTGATGTCCCAGAACTCGATGGGGGGCCCGCGCGGCGGGCATGCGCGTCGCTTTGCTGCCGCCAGAGAGTAGGCCGCCAGTCGTTCGCGATCTCGTCGAGCGCGCTGCGGGGCAACCTTGCGAGGATGGGCTGGCCCCCGGCCGGTGCGTCGGCGTCTCTTTCACATGGGGGCCCCCACCAATGAGATCACGACATGGCCCGCCTGTTTTCTATTCATCTGCGTGAAGTCGCGCGCGGGCATTGAAATAGTTCCGCTTCTGAATGCCCGGGTAGGGCCATGGTCATAACCAGACAGCGGGACACGCAGACGGTGGACCTCGCGTAGATCTCGCCTGCGCCACGCCTCGCACAGCTCCACGGCTACCTCGGGTTCGCGCCCCCCGCACCAGTGACGTCGCAGCCTTGGCTCGACGCCAATATGCCCGAGCTCGCCGTTTGCCGCGCCGAGGCGCTCGAGCTTTCATCGGGGTCGAGGCGCGCTTTGAGTCGGGCGCGTCCTTTCAAAAGCTGCGCGCGTTGATTCCCGCCCAGAGCTGGAGGCACCCGAAACTTCGCTCGGGCTCGACGGGAAAGACTTGCTCCAATACTCCACGGATAACCTTCCTGAAAAGATCCCCTTCGCCAACCGCGTCGTCGACCTGGCACCGCTAATCTAATTCGTCTCGCACCTCCCAAGCCCCCTGGTCCCGTTTCCGCAGAAACTGGTTCCGCCGGTCACCTTTTCTGGAGAAATGCCATCAGTGCATTTATGTCGATGCGCCTGTCGGACGGCTGGCGAGCATCTGATAGATGGCGGCTTCGAACCCAAAGGCTAACGCGTATATGATCCCAGAAGCGTTCACTGCTCATCCGCCGCGCTTGGCGTGCCAGGGGACACTCGATGAAACATCTGTCGACCAGGCCCATGGGCCCTACAGCCAGAACCCAATGGTCAATCTTCGCGCGGCCGCAATGTCCGATGTTATGCGTTCTGCATATGGGCGAAACTCGTCGCCACAGCAGGGTGGCGTCGTTCACAGAATGCACGCACACGCGAAAGTGCGTCGTGCTCAATACCAGGAACAAGCAATGCCAACCTCTGGCGCATCCTCGACGAAAACCAAGCCGTCCGCATGTCTCCGAATACCAAATTGATCGTTCGCATCGACGAAGAGCAGGGGCCCGGCGCGCGCAACAAGTCCTTGAGAATGGTGTCGAAGAAACTCATAATCAGATCCGCCTTTGTCGATCGAGCCGCAGGGCTGCCACCTGAACGCGGGGGGGGGGTAGAACGCGCGCATGGATATGCACTGGTTTCCGCGTCTCACCCTGAGGGCCCCCACAAATCCGAACAGCCCGCTGTTTTTGAGCGGCCCGAATATCTTAGCAATGCGCAGTGCTAGCAGTCGTCGGTCTAAAAAACGAAGCTCCACAATTAGCGTTAACGTCGGGTCTCTTGCGCTTTATTAACCTGATCTCCCTGCGTTGCTTATGGCGTTACGATGGCGGGCAATCGCCGTATCGACGGCACTGACTTCCACGGCATACTGCAACATCGTCCGATCTGAACAACTGTGGAATGCATGACGCATGGTCGCCTGCAAAGCTCTGCGCATCGTACCCAACAGCTTTCAAGAGAGAAGCGCGGTCCATGAGAAAAGAAAACAACACGTGGGCCCCTGGCCAGGAAATAATGAGGGATTCCTTACGCGGATGCCGCCGCATCAGCGGCATGGCGCCCTCAGCGCCGCACGCCCGGGCCGGCGTCAACGAGGAGAGGAGGAGGAGGAGGAGGAGGAGGAGGAGGAGGAGGAGGAGGAGGATGGGGGGGAGGAGAAGGAGGAGGATGGGGGGAGGAGGAGGAGGAGGAGGAGGAGGAGGAGGAGGAGGAGGTGAAGGAGGAGGAGGAGGAGGAGGGCGAGGAAGAGGAGGAAAAGGACGAGGCCAGGTCGGGCCAGGTCAGGCAGTCCTCGACAGCTTCTCGGCGACAAGGCTGCCGCGGAAGCGACGCATGACAGCCCCAGCCCTGGCCCCCCAAGCACGGTGGCAGCAGAACACAGAACACAAAAAGCTCTGATTGGCTCAATTTGGCACCAAGCCCAAGGTTTTAAACGTAAACCTGCAAAAGGAAAACAAACATAATAATTAGGCCTGGCTGGCGAAGAACCCAACCCTCTTCGTAAAATGATGCGACTGCAAGCAGGACCGCTCGATGCACAAGAATACATGGGGGGGCTACAGCAAACCTGAACAATTCGCCAGGGACCTGACCCTGGTGGCCCGAGCACGTGAGAATTCTCTGGGAAAAAATCGGAGGCGGCATGCGAACGATGCCGCGGCAGCCTTCGGCGGGGTTCCCTGGGGGCCACGAAGCGCGTGAGGGGCGTGGCGCGCTCGAAGGGCGCGGAGGGAAGGGGGGGGGCTCTGAGGAGGAGGCTGCTTCATAGAAGGCGCCGGCGTCACATCTATAGAGAAGGCCCGCGCCTTCCAAGGAGGATCGAGGAGGAGGATCGAAGGGGGGGGAAGGCGATCGAAGGCCGACGCTGCCCCTCGGGCCAAAGTAATTACCCAACGGCCAGCCGCCCCGAGCTCCACGTGCGCACCCATGCCCGTCTTCGTGATGGCCCTCCCGCCGAACATCTGCACCGCCTCGTCGGCCACCAGGGCGCCGGCCCGGGTGCTCTGGTACCTGGGGGTTTCAAGGGGCCCCCGACGCCAAGAGCCTCCTGGAGCCTGAAAGCTCCGTGCATCTTTGGCGATATACTTTGCTCGGGAAAGGCGAGGGTTGATCCCGAAAAGGACAAGGGCCCAGGGTTCTCTTCTAGTTTAGGGTGGTAATCTGTCCCCTGTGCCACATTCGAAGAGGGCTGGCGGGTTAATGTAGGATAAAAAACGAAGTCGAAGAAGGCCGGTAGTTTAAAGTCTTCTTGGCATCCGGATCGATATCAAACACATGGTTCAGTTCACATGTTCGCGTGTTGCGGATGTCTTGAGCGAAAAGCTTGTGTTGCAGAAATTGTTAAGGATGTTCCGAAAGAAACGGCTGTTTTGTCCTACAGGTTGCTCCTCTCCCGGGGGCCAGCACTCGGAGCATGTCTGAAGCGCAATGCTTGCTTTCACGTGCCGAGGTCGCCCAGGAGGGTATCTAACATGGTTGCCCCCAAATGGAACCAGATGTTTTCACGTGTCCACGCCACCCAGGGGTGCATCTAAAACGGTGGTTCCGAACTTGAACCGCGTGTCTTTACTTGTCTAGGCCGCCCAGAGAGGTATCTTACATGGTGGCCCCGAGCTGGAACCATATGTTTTTACGTGTCCAGGCCACCCAGAGGCGTATCTCACATGGTTGCCCCAAGCTGGAACCGCGCGTTTCTACGTGTGCGGGCCACCCACGACGGGGATATCTAACATGTGGTCGTGTGGGGGCCCCAGCGAGGGGGGGGCCCAAGAGCCAAACAAAATCAATAAATCGGTACTGGATCTGTCATAACTTGACACAGCTTCTTCGGCTGGTGACTTTCGTCCGGATTTCCCCTGGGGTATCGAAAATGGTGGCCCCGAGCTGGAACCACGTGCTTCCACATGTCCATGCCACCCCGGTGGATAACTATCATGGTGATCCCGAGCTGGAACCACATGTTTTCAAGAGTTCAAGCAACCCAGAGATGTATCGAACACGGTGGAACCGAAATAGAACCACGTGTTTTCACGTGTCCAGGCCACCCAGAATGGGATCTAACATGGTGGTCCCGAGCTGGAACCACGTGTTATCTAACATGGTTCCCCCGAGCTGGAACCACGTGTTTCATGGTTCAAGGCCATCCAGGGGGGGTATCTAACATGGTGGCCCTAAGCTGAAACCACGTATTTGCACGAGTCCTGGCCACCCAGAGGTGGGTACTTAAGATGGTTGCCTCTTGCCCCTCGCTGGAACCACGTGTGTTCATGTGCCCTGGCCACCCAGCAATGTATCTAACATGGTGGCGCCAGGCTGAAACCACGTGTTTTCACATGCCCGGACAACCCAGACATGCTTCTAACACGGTGGCACCGAGCTAGACCCACGTCCTTTCACGTGTCCAGGCCACCCAGAGGGATATCTAACATGGTGGTCCCGCACTGGAGCCCCGTCGCTGGAACCACGTGTTTCCGACCCAGTGGGGTAACTAATGTGGCGCAAGGTTGGAACCACGTGTTTTCACGCGCCCAGGCCACCCAGAGGGGTGTCTAGCATGGCGGAACCGAGCTGGAACGTGTCCAGGCCACCCAGGGGGGTATCTGACATGGTTGCCCCAGGCTGGAACCGCATGTTTTCTTACCTGTCTGGGCCAGCCAGTGGGGGTACCTAACGTGTGGTCGCCTGGGCGCCCCCAGCGTGGGGGCCCACAAGAACCGGACAAGCTCAATGCATCGACGCCAGATGTGTAATGACCTTCGGCTGGTGGTTCTCCCGACTCCCGACTTCGTTATCTCACATGATGACCCTGAGATGGAGCCACTTGTCTTCACGCTTCCAAGCCACACAAGGGGGGTATCTGACAGTGGCCCCGAGCTGGAACCGTGGTCACGTTCGCCGTCGTCCGCAGTCGTTGTCGTCGTCGGCGTTTCGGCACGCCCCTTCTCGATGCATTTCGCCTCGGTTTGGACTTTGGACTCGCCCTATCAGTTCGCCCTGTTGTGGGGCAGAATCTTTTCCTAAGGTCCCGACTGCAGTCAGCTCTGGGCGAGCAATGCGCCCAGGCAGCTCGAGCTTGAGGCCCAGCTCAGGTCTGTCAGAATTCGGATGCCGCGGAAGATTTGGTCCACGACGCAACAGGGCACAGAACTGTTTAGATTCGCCCCCCTTCGGTTCGGCCCGCTCCCGAACTGCATTGGATCTTGAGCTCGAGCTTGCCAGAACTGAGTTATGCGTTCAGGCAGCTCGAGCTTCAGATCCAGATCAGTTCGATCGGGAGTCTGACGCCACGGACGATCTGATCCACAATGCGATAGAGCACAGCACTTCGACGCGGCATTGCGCGTCTCAGCTCAGCACAGGACAGCACAACACACCACAGCCCCTTGCACTGTGCATCACCATCGCTACCTTGAGCACTGCAATTGCCCGTCGCCCAAATCTGGTGTCTTGAGCAGTTTCCATGCTTCACATTTCTATTGCCCTTTCCGGGTTCGTGGTTCGATAATGTATTTTAGTTATCTAGAGGGGGCCGGCAGAATTATCATTTTTTCAAGAACCATACAACAACACAAAACATGTTCAGTCGCACAAATTCTGTTCGCGCGCGCCCGCTCGAGGAAAATGCCCCCCCCCAATTCAAATCCTCGATAAATCTCGAGGTCCGCAGACTTTCCTTTATCTCTTAGATACGGGTGTGAAGCGTTTTGCGCAGAATCCTCGCGAGGGGCGCGTTGAAATTGGCATGAAGTTTACAATGTGAAACACATGTGTTGCGCTTGCCCGCTCGAAGATGGCGTGCCCCGCGCTCGGAGTTCGATTCAAATAACACCCCTCGGAAGCCCCAGAAGGCGCAGGAAGCCCTCGGGCACCACTGGATCACCTGGGAGCGGGAGACCTCTACATGTTGCTAGGGATTGTGGCCATGGGGGCGCGGACGCCGTAATTTACAAAGTATCGTGGCCCTGGGAGCGCGGACGCCGTAATTTACAAGGGGATTGTAGCCTTGGGGGCGCTGGCGCAGCGTAATTCACGAGAGATCCTGGTCCTGGAGGCCCGGACGCAGCAGAATTTACGATAGATCCGCGGCGTAGGTGCGCGGACGCAGTGTACTTTACTACACAACAGAAGTGCCCCATGGGAGCGCGGGCACATCGTTACAGATGTGCGAGAAATCCTGGCCCCGGGAGCGCGGACGGAGTGGGGCTAGGAGCGCGGATCGGGATCGTGGCGCTGGGATCTCAATCCCAGGGAGATTCATTCATGAGGGATCGTGGCTCTTGGAGAGCGGGGCCAGTTACATGTTGTTGAGGATGTCTCGAGCGCGGCGCTAATGTTGCAGAATGAGTGGAGGGTGCTTGGCGAAACGCTCGCGATCGTTTGTTGATGTCTAGAGCGAGGCGCCTGCTCGGCACAATTTGTTGAGAATGTGTTGAACGAAACATGCGTGTTGCAGCGTTTGCAAAGGCCTGGACGCCCCAGAATGCTCCAGGATGCTCTGGGAGCGCACCCATCTGATCCCTGTAACTGTCGCACTCTTGAAAAGGGCCCCGCGCGCGGGAGGAAGAGGACGAGGCCCGACCCCCTTCGATCCTCGCGATGGTCGCTTTCTGGAGGGGCACCGCACGGAGAAGGAGAGGGCCCGGCCCTTCGGACCCTAGCACCGCCTCGAGACCCTCAAACCACTGGGGCTTTTAACATCTGCGAGCGGGGGAAGAACCAAAGCACATGCGTTCCTTGGGCCCGTGAGCTGCAACCATTCGGTGCGACATGGGCTCCTAACGGCCGTGAGCGAGACAACCGTCAAAACAAATGGTTCCTTTCGCCCCGGAGCTGCACACTTGTGCTTTTTGAACAGGGAATCCTGACGCCCGTGAGCGTGACAACCGTCGAACCACATGGGACACCTGAACCCGCCCGTTTTGATTGCAACCAGCGCTGGACGAGCTATGCGTCCAGGCAGCTCCAACGTAAGATCCAGATCAGCTCGGCCCAATATCGGGATGGCAAGGACGATTTGGTCCACAACGCACCTGTAAGTTCCTGTGGGTATTGGCCCTCGGAGTGCGGCTCCCTTGAGCCGAAATGTATTCGACTCATCCAGGTCTCGTCTCATATTTCCTCGACTCGGGTAAGGTCAGTTCCGCCCTCGTCTCGATTCGTATTGCGTTGGTTCGTCCCGACTCAGCGTTTGGGTCGTCCGTTGTCGGTGCGTTTCGCCTCGGTGCGGAGTCGCCCCCTCATGGTCCGTCCAGTGTCGGGCGTGAATCGGATCTGGAGCTTGAAATGGTTGGGCACCCCGCACGTTTCGATTATAAGCAGCTCTGGGCGAACTGTGCGTTCAGGCAGCTCGAGATGAAGATCCAAATCAGTTCAGTGCGGTTATACTTCCGATGCCAAGCACGACTTTGCCCACAACGAAGTGGAACAAAAGAACTTGTCAACGCGGCATAACGCAGCAGGTAAGCAGAGCGCGGATCGGTCGCAATGTTCGCCAAGATCGCGGCCCTGGGGGGTGCACCCCTGGCAATTTACGAAGGGCTCTTGGCTCCCGGAGTTCGGCTCCCTCGGCAAGACATGCCATGCGGCTACAGGAGACTGGTCCGAAACGTACTCGGTTCGTCCCAATTTCGGTGCGTGCCCTGGCACGTGCAACTGCGCGCCCCGTGACACGTCCCTTGGCTCGTCTCGGACGCGTTCCCTGGCCCTTTCCTCTGGCGCTGCCCCTACCCATTCCGTGGCGCGTCCTCTGGCGCATCCCATTCATCCCCTGGCGCGTCCCCTGGCACGTCCCTTGATACGTCCCCGAGCATGACTTTCCCTGGCACGCCGCCTGGCATGCGCCTCGGCAGGCCCCATGGCACGTCCCCTGACACGTCCCCTGGCACGTCCCCCCGGTGGATTCCCCAGTGCGCCCCTAGCACATCCCGTGGCGCGCCAGATGCGCCATGCGCCCCCTGTCGAATCGCCCAGCGTCGGAGCTGAATCGGACCGTGAGCTCGAGCTGGCTAAGCGACCCGAACGTTGTGATTACAACCAGCTCTGGACAAGCCATAGATTTAGGTCGGGCGTGTCCCCCTACAGGCGAATTTTGATGTTGGAGGTAACATTTAAAATGCTCAACAAATACCCCCAACATAGTCATACCATCGCTTTTTATGAAAACCACAATTTTGAACAAACAACAAACAAACAAACTTCCACAGACTATTTTTGTCTATTTTTGAATATTCCTCCTGTAGAGGGACAGGCCCGACTTAACCACAGATCCAGATCAGTGCGGTCAAGATACGAACGCCAAGGACGACTGGATCCACAGCGCAGCAGAGTACAGCACGGGCTGGAACAGCACAGCTCAGCACAGCATGGCAAAGCACAGCGCAACGCAGCACAGCCCCTGACACGGCATCAGCACAATGGAAATCGTCAGCATTGCTACTGCCCATTGCCCAAGTTGGGGCAGCTCTGTATCCCTTTCCAGGTTCGCGGGTCGCTCACGATTTCAATGTGAGCGTCTTTCGTAAGTTTCGGCCTCCCTGGCCCGTTATCGGACCGCGCGACCATCAAACACTGATCAGGGGCGAAAAACCATCCCCGAGGAAGTGGTCGCGACCTCTAGGGCCACACATTGAAAAAAAACATATCGCAGGATGTCCGAGGAACTCCCTGGAGCCTCGTTCTTCCTCCCTCCAGAACTTCCTGGAACTGGAGCCCCGCCCTCCCTAGAAAGGCCCCAGAACGTGCAACCCAGCAGAAGGACCCCAGAGCCTCCCGGGACCTCGCTCCTCCTCCCATCCTCCCCCCTCTCCGAAACGAAATCTTCAGAGGCCCCCGGAGGCCCAGAAAGGGCACAAGGGCGTACCAGGAGCTTCGAACCTCGAGCGTCGGGTCCTCCCCCCCTCCCCCCGCTCCGCTCCCCTCGGGCAGGAACTTCAGGAGCGCGATCGGGCCGCCGAGCTTGAGGGACTGCTCCTTGTAGGGCATCTTGTCCATCTGGTATGTGACCGACTCGAGGAGCGCGTGGGCACTCTCGACAGCGCCTGCCGTTGATTTCAGGGTCTTAGTCGTCAGAATCGTCACCCTACGAACACGCTGCACTATCGCATGTCCAAAGAGCACCACATGAAAGGAACTTGCTGCTACAGGAAACAAGCCAAATTCGCAGCCACCGATTTTCCCCGAAGGGGTTCAGGTTGAGGGTTCTCTCCTGGTATGTGAACATGTCCACCTGCCCCGCGGCTGCATGGGGCCGACAGAACTAATAATTTGCACGGAAAATGAGAAACCTCATTCTCAGTTTAAAACATGCGTTTCGCTCGACCCGTTCGAGGAAAATACGGCCCCCACATCGGATCCGCCGTAAACGACGGAGTCCACAGACCCCCACTTCCACTTGGTAATAAAGGGTGCGAGGCGTTAGTGCGTTGAAATGAATGAGAACTTTCCACCTGGATTTGCGTGCGCCCGCTCAAATTATGGCGCGCCCCGCGCTTAGACTCCTTGCCAAAGAACGGAAAGCCCCCAGGAAGCCCAGGAAGTCGATGGGCGCCCCTGGATGCCCCCCTTGGATGCCGTGGGAGCGGGAGTCCTATATATATATATATATATATATATATATATATATATACATACATACATACATGTACATATGCACATATGTGTGTGTATGTACCGACGGGTCGTGGCCCTTCAAGCTCGGGCGCAATCGAATCTTCAAGGATCAAGGCCCTGGTAGTGCGGACGCAGCGTAAATCAAAAAGGACCGTGGCGCTGAGAGCGCGGACGCAGCTACCCGGGATCGTACGCATTGGGGCGTGGACACAGCGTACACCCGGGATCGCGAACGCAGTGTAATTCGTGACGGATCGTTGCCATGGGATCGTTGATGAAGGGTCCTGGCGCTGAGAGCGCGGACGCAGCATAGTTGTCGAGGGATCGTGGCACTGGGAGCGAGGACGCAGCACAACTTACCTGGGGTCGTGTTCCTGGGCGCACGGACTCACTGTAAGTTACGAGGGGTCCTGGCCCTGGGGGCGCGAACGCAGGGTAACTTACTATGGATTGTGGCGATAGGACCCATGGCCTCTGGCACAAGGGGTATCCCTCCCCCCGCGGTCAGGGCTCGAGGTTGGCCGGCGCGGCCTAGGGGGCGCGGCCTGGCCGCGCGCTCCGGCCGCAGCTGCCGCTTAGCCATGGCGCCCCTGAAGACCCTAGCCGCCCAGCAGCGGCGGCAGCGGCGGGCGCGCGCCGAGGCGGCCACTGCTGCCGCCGCCGGCGCCGTTGGTCCACTGGCCGCCGCTGGGCCGGGCACGCGGGCACCGCAGGCGCCGCTGGCACCTCCGGCGCCGTGGGCGCTGTAGGCGCTTCGGGCGCCGCGGGCGCGGCCGGCGCGGAACGCGCCCTGGGCGCCGCGGATGCCGCGGGCGCCGCGGGCGCTGCGGGCGCTGCGGGCACCGCGGGCGCGGCTGGTGCGGGCTGGGCCGCCCCCTGGACCAGACGCTGGGCCGTGGCCGCTGGCTGCGCCGCGGATGCGGCTACTGCCGCGGGGGCCGCCGCTGCCGCCGCCGGCCTACGGGCTGCGGCGGCGGCGCTGGCTCGGGCGGCCGCGCGCGTGGCGGCTGCAGCGCACTGCCCTGGCCCCATGTGCGGGCGGTTGGGGGCCGAGCCCAACGAGATTAACTACCCACCCCCCGGCTTGCCCGGCGCCTCACCCGACGCCCAAACCCACGAAATCAGCTGCAATGCCCAACACAACGGACCCGATGTCAGTGAGCAGCGGCAGCGGGCAACGGCGCTGCTCGGCAAGACACCCATCTTCGAATTTGATGTCGACGGATTCCGGCAGCGAGACCGTGAGCAGCGTGATGGACTCCAGCGGCAGCTTCGCGAGCACCTCGACGGACTCCAGCAGCGCAACCGCGAGCAGCAGGAATGACTCTTCAAGCACCGTTGTGAGCAGCATGGCGGGCGCCAGCAGCACCTTCGGGAGCAGTGCGGCGAGCTCCAGCAGCACGACCGTGAGCAGCATGACAGACTCCAGCGGCAGGTTCACGAGCAGCGCGACGGACTCCAGCAACACCATCGTGAGCAGCACGACGGACTCCAGCAGCACGACTGGCAGCAGCACGGCCGACTTCTGCAGCACGATCGCGAGCAACATAACGGGCGCCAGCAGCGCCATCGTGAGCAGCACGACGGACTCAGCAACGCGTCCGCTAGCAGCAAGACTAACTGCAGCAGCACAACCGCGAGGAGCATTACGGACTCCAGCAGCAGCACGGGGATCATCACGGCCGTGAGCAGCACGACGGACTCCAGCAGCACCATTGTGAGCAGCATGATGGACTCCAGCAGCACGACCGTGAGCAACACGACCGACTCCAACAGAATGACACTGAGCAGCATGACGGACTCCAGCGGCAGAGTCGCGAGCAGCACGGACGGACTTCAGCAGCAGGACCGTGAGCAGCAGGACAATCTCCAGCAGCTCCATCACGAGCAGCACGGCGGACTTCGGCAGCACGGCGTTGAGCAGCATGACGGGATCAGGCAGCACCATCGGGAGCAGCACGACCGACTCCGACAGCACGACTCAACAGCAGGACGGGCTATGGCAACACCATCGTGAGCATCATGGCAAACTCCAGCAGGACGACCTTGACCAGCATGACGGACGCCAGCAGCACCGTCGGGAGCAGCACGGACGGACTTCAGCAGCAGGACCGTGAGCAGCAGGACAATCTCCAGCAGCTCCATCACGAGCAGCACGGCGGACTTCGGCAGCACGGCGTTGAGCAGCATGACGGGATCAGGCAGCACCATCGGGAGCAGCACGACCGACTCCGACAGCACGACTCAACAGCAGGACGGGCTATGGCAACACCATCGTGAGCATCATGGCAAACTCCAGCAGGACGACCTTGAGCAGCATGACGGACGCCAGCAGCACCGTCGGGAGCAGCACGACGGACTCCAGCAGAACGACTGGAGCGGCACTGCGGACCCTAGCAGAGGCCCTAGCAGCAGCATCGTGAGAAGCACCGCCGACTCCAGCAGCACCATCGTGAGCAGCACGACGGACTCCAGCAACATGATCGGGAACAGCACGACGGAATCCAGCAGCACGACAGTCAGTAGCTTTGCGGACTTCAGCAGCATCATCGTGAACACCATTACGGACTCCAGCAGGACAGCCGCAAGCAGCAGGACGGACTCCATCAGCACCATCGGGAGCAGCACGACGGGCTCCAGCAGCAAGATCGGCAGCAGCATGGCGGACTCCACCAACGCGAAAGGCAGCAGCACGCCAGACTCCAGCAACATGACCGTGACCAGCGGCACCGTCCGCGGCAGCTCCATCGTGAGCAACATGACGGGCGCCAGCAGCACCATCGTGCACAGCCGTGAGCAGCATGCTGGACTCCAGCAGCACTGAACAGCACTGCGGACTCCAGCGGCATGAACGCGAGCAGCATGACGGACCCCAGCAGCACCATCGTGTGAGCAGCGCGACAGACTCCAGAAGCACGACCGTGGGCAGCAAGGGCGACTCAAACAGCACCATCGCGAGCAACACGACGGGCTCTTGCAGCACGACCGTCAACTGCATGACGGACTTCAGCAGCATCATCGCGTGCAGCAAGACGGACCCCAGCAGCGCGTCTTTGAACAGCACGACGCGTTCGGGCAGCACGGCCGCGGGCAGCATGTCGGACTCCAGCAGCAGCGTCGGAACCCTAGCAGCACGACCGCGGGCAGCATGACAGATTGAAGCGGCAGAATCGTGTGCAGCACGACGGACTCCAGCAAAACGTCCGTGAACGGCATGACGGACTCCAGCGGCAGCATCGCGATCACCAGGATGGACTCCAGCAGCACCATCGTGAGCACGACGGACTCCAGCAGCACGACCATGAGCAGCACGACGGACTCCAGCAGCCGCATCGTGAGCTGCAGGACGGACTCCAGCAGCACGACCGACAGCAGCATGGCGGACTCCAGTAGCACCATCGCGAGCAGCATTACGGACTCCAGCAGCACGACCGCGAGCAGCAGGACGGACGGACTCCAGCAGCACCATCGCGAGCAGCAGGATGGAAGCCAGCAGCACCATCGTGAGCAACACAACGGACTCCAGCAGCACGACCGCGAGCAGCATGACGGACTCCAGCGACAGCATCGTGAGCAACCTTACGGACTGCAGCTGCACGACCGCGAGCAGCACGGCGGGCTCCAGCAGCACCGTCGCCGTCAGCACGACGGACTCCAGCAGCACGACCGAGAGCAGCACGACGGATTCCTGCCTTCTCCTGGAGCGCCAGGGGCCTTAGGAGGCAGGCCCTCGCACCAGTGCGCCACGCCGAGCGCCGCCTAGGGGCGCCCGAGTCGCCCCGCGCGTCGCTGATGCGATTTGCGGCGACGGCGGCGTCAGAAACCAGAGCGGGGCGAACGGCGACAACTCTACCACTCAGCCTCCTCCCCCCTTCTTCCCACCGCCCCCATCCAAGGGAGACCGCGCCACAAGCGATTGCCACGATCAGCGGCGCGCCTGGCGGCGACGGCGTCGGCAGAAACCGGCGGGTCTCCCCCCTGGCGCGGGCCCGGGCGCGCGGGGGGGCGCGACCAGCGGCGCTCCTGGGAGCGCCTCCGAGCCTCGTCGCCGCGCAGCGGACCGGCAAAATAAAACGCCAGCCCCCCGGTAGGTCTGGCACGCCCAATCCGCGGCGGAGGGCTCTGCCTGGCAGGCCAGAGCACTCCGTACAAGGCTGCGACAGCCCGCCGGCCCGCCAGACGGCTGGCGCCGCGTCGGAGGCGCGGGGGGTCGAGGAGGCCGCAGGCTCCGACGCCGCGGACCCCTTCGCAACGGCCGCTGGCTAGCTGCGCAATGCGCTCCTGGCGTGGTGGGCCGCCTGGATGTCGCGAGCTCCCTCCCAGGAAGTGAGCACCCCTGAGGGGGCGGGCAGACTTCGGCAGAAGTCGACGTTGAGACCGCCGCGGCCGCCGTCGCCCCCGACGAAGCAAACGCCGCGACGATCTGCCG